CTGCAGGGCACAGGACCCCCCGGTACCCCAGCAGAGCCCCCGACCTGTCTCGCAGCCCCGGTGGATGAGGGTGCGCAGGGCCTGGCACACGGTGGGGCGGAGGTCCGGGCGCTCGCTGATGGCCATGCCCAGGGTGCGTGCCAGCCCTTTGAAGGCCCCCAGCACGTCCGTGGGGTGGGTGCAGAAGCCGGGCAGCAGGCTCCAGACCTAGAACGTGCAGGAAGGAGGGGGAGGCGGGCAGCCTTTGGCCAGGACACCGCCGCCCAGCCTGGCACTATGGATACACCACAGCAGGGGGGGAGGCACCCCTCGTTACCTGCCACTGCAGTGTGTCGTAGATCTTGGACTCCAGGCTCTTCCCAGCCTGGGAAAATTCCAGGGCTGTGAAAGAAAAGGGAGGGATGAGCAGAGAGGCAGAAGTAGCAGAGCACTGCAGCCCCCCCCACACCGCCCCTCCTCACCTCTGCTCTTCAGGGTGGCCGCTAAAGGCAAGAAGTAGCTGGTGAAGAAGCCGAGCCGTGCGCCCTGCACGTAGTCCCGCAGCACGGGCAGCAGCCAGCTGCGGGGGAAATCCAGGTTCTCCCTGGGGAGGGAGCGCACAGGTCAGGGGGAGCACGGGGTGCTGCCAGCACCAGCCCCAGAGCTTGTGCCCAGCACCGTGGGGAGGCAGCAGGGCTGGAAAGCAGCAGCCGTGGTGCCCCCAGGCCCTGGCTTCCCACTGCTGGGGGCTGCGCTCACTCCTTGCCGTCGATCTGCAGGGGCACAGCTTCCAGCAGCACCTCGGGGCCCATGGCAGCCACTGCAGCCCCCACCGCCTGGTCCACTTCAGCCGTGTAGGGGAAGTGCGGGGAGAGACGCAGGTCACACAGCGACTGCAGGCACTGCGGGGACAGGGCAGGAGGTGACCGAGGGGCCGCAGAGGCCGGCTGGCCCCGCACAGCCTCCCCGCCAGGCTCACCTTCCTCATGATGGGGTGGCACTGCTTCCCGCACGACTCGAAGAAGATCTCCAGCACCTGCAGCACCTCGTCCCACGCCGCGTGGAAGCGATACGTCAGCCCGTCCTCCACCGACCTGGAGGGAAGGGACAGCGATGGGGACGCACCCAGCACCGTGCCACACAGCCTGCCAGCCCTGCTGGGGACCAGGCAGCAGCTGGAGCCCCAGGACGGCCTCTCCCAAAACCCACAGCCCCCACCTGAACATCTTGCAGAGGTAGGAGGCAGGGGCTGGGGCTGACGCGGTGACAGTGCCCAGCTCGTCCATGTGGGGAGCCACGCACTCGGTCAGGAGGTTCTGCAGGAGCAAACGTGGTAAAAAACAGGTTGGTGGTGGGCTGCGATGGGCCAGCCCCAGGCAGAGACCCCACCCTGGCCACCAGCAAGGACCAGGGCAGCTCGGCACCAACAAAACGGGCTGGGAGAGGGGTCCCCAGTCGGTACCTCGAGGGTCTGCGCCGCAGCTGACACCACCTGCGAGTGCGGGGACAGGAAGCAGTTCATGGCAGCCGAGAAGAGCCGGGGCAGGTGAGCCCAGCACAGGTCCTTCTGCAGCCTGGGGAAGGACGGGAGGCCGGTGAGACAGAGCTCGGCCTCTCCCCTGCCCGGCCCCAGCCCCGGCCTCTCCCCACCTGCCCAGGTTGACGTGCGCCTTCTCCATGGTCGACAGCCAGGTGAGCAGCGGCTGCAGGTCGCTGGCGCTAGGCACGTAGTCGTACAGCGCCTGGGGGAGCAGAGTGGTGCTGGGAAGGGTGGCGGTGGCAGCAGCCCCGTTCCCTCCCCGCCGCAGCACCCCGCACTCACGGTGATGATCTGGGCGTTGAGCTGTGCCGGCAGGCAGGAGGGGCCGGGCTGGGCGCTGAAGAGGCTGTAGAAGGCTTGCATGGCGCAGGCGGTCACCAGCTGCAAGGACACGGGGTCAGGAAGGACAGCTCCAGGGCAGATCCTTTGTGCTCCGTGCCCCAAAACAGGCCCTGCCCTACCCAGCCCCACGGGAAAGCCCCATCTCCCGCGGGGCAGCCTCCCTCTTCCATAGCAGCCAGGCCAGCGAGCCCCGGCTCTCCCTGGGGTGCTCCATGCTCAGATCTTGCCATTTCCAAGTCCTGCAGCCCGGCACAGCTCCAGGCACGGGGACATGGGGACACGAGGACACTCACCACGTGGCTGAGGGTCATGACTCTGAGCAGGGTCTCGCAGCACGTCTTCACCGCGGCCGCAGGGCAGCAGGGCAGCACGTCCCGCAGCAGGGACAGGACGTGCAGGGTGGTGGTGGCCTCCTTGGCGCCTGGGGGAGCGGAGCAGCACCCGTGCTTGTGACCACAGCTCTGCCTGACGCAGGGACCCCACGGCAGAGCTGGGGCTGACCCACAGACGTGGGGTGAACTGATGCCCTCCCCCAAACGCTTCTGAGCAGAACAGAACGGACAGAGGGCTCTGCAAACACCTTGAGCATCCCAACATCATCTCACGCCCCCTGGAGCTCCTCTCACAGCAACACAGAGTGCTGTGCTTTGTGCTGTTCCTTTCCAGTCCCCGTTCTTGCATGCTGCAGGGCCCTCATTCTTGGCCACACACCCCCTGTCCCGTACCTCCAGCTTTTTCAATCTCTTGCACGCAGAACTTGGCCGTGGAGGGTGCCGCCGGGTGATGCTCGGGGGCTGCATCTCCAAACATGAACTCGCTGCCCCTCAGGACAGAGCACACGCCGTACTGAGCTGCTTTCCGCACCTGGGGAAGTTTGAATAGGTGTAGGAGCACCAGGAGCAGCGCCAGCCCCCGAAACGAGCCCAGGAGGCAGCACAGGCACAGCCCAGGGCGCTGGGGACTCACCTTGGGCTTGGTGTGGACGCAGAAGCTCAGCAGGCCGTGGTAGACCTGGAGGGTGACAGGGTAGCTCCAGGCTGCCAGGTCCTGCTTGCGCAGCAGCGTGGCCAGGCAGGACAGGACCTACGGCAGGGGCAGCAACATCAGCACCATGCCCTGGAGACCCCCTCACCGCCCACCTAACCCCACACAGCTGCTGCTGCCTCTCCGATACTCACCCACCGCAGGGCAGAGGTGGAGCCGCTGCAGGCCTGCGAGGACACGATGCCCATGAAGGCTTTGGAGGTGTCCGAAAACTTCTTGATGAGCACCGGGCTCGGGACCCTGCAGGGGGAAGGGGCACAGGGTTGGCAGGCACGCAGGGAACCACGCACCCGGCCTGCTGAGGGGGGGCAGTGCCTCTGGGCAGGGGCAGCTCTCCCTGCTCACCGCTTCAGCACCAGGTTGAGCAGGTAGGAAACAGCAGCCAGTGACTCCGGGGTGTCCACCGCCTCCAGCGTGGTCATCTGGGAACAGAAATTGGGTTTGCACCAACCCAGCCCTTCCCAAAGCCTGGGGGAAAGGGACTGGGAATCCAAGAGCAGCCTGACAGCACCTCGGCAGGAGAAGGACGCCCGGTGCACGTGTGGGGAGCACGTCACCCCTTTTGGGCACTCACCAGCGCAGCAAAGTACTCCGTCTCCGTCTCCTTGCCCCCCTGTGCACGGATCACCTCCGTCACGGCCGCCAGCACCGCACAGATCTGCCAGGGCGTTACTGTCAGTGCCCGGGGTGTAACGGGCACCCCCGGGACCCCCAGTATCACCCAGTACCCCCCAGTATCCCCCAGTACCTCCTTGTGCGCGGCGGAGCTGGACTCCCAGAAGCGCTGCACTTTGCTGAAGGTGGCGTTGGAGCAGTCGCTCAGCCCGCTCAGGAAGGTGCCCGAGGACCTCTCCGTGGCGGCTTCACCCCCACCTCCTCCCTCCTCCTCCTCCTCCTCCATGGGCAGGGCCCCCCCCTGCAGCTCATTGTGCAGCTTCACCGCATCCACCGTCAGGCGGCTCTTCTCTGCCGGGACACGGGGCGGGACGGGGTCAGCCTGGTACAACCGAGCCCCGCTCCTCCTTCATCCTCATCATCTTCATCCTCTTCTTCCTCATTGCCCCCCTCCTCATCCTCTTCATCTTCCTCACTTTCCTTCTCCTCCTCACCTCCTCCTCCTCCTTCCTCCTCCTCCCCCACCCAGGGGCCCTATGCAGCTCCCCCTCAGTGCCCCCCCAACCCTCCCGGTACCCTCCCGGTACCCCCCGGTACCCTGGGCAGACCCCCCCAGCCCCTTCAGCACCCTCCCGGTACCCCCCCGGTGCCCTCCCGGTCCTCCCCGGTGCCGGTACCCCCCGTGCCCCCACAGCACCCTCAGATCCCCACAGCAACCCCAGGTCCCAGCAGTGCCCCCCCGGTCCCCGCAGCACCCCCCAGCCCCTCCCGGTGCCTCCCGGTGCCTCCCGGTGCCCCCAGTCCCGGTGCCGGTGCCCCCCCCGGTGCCCGCTCTCACCGTCGGGCCGGCTGCAGAAGCGGCTCCTGGCGGCCAGGCGGTGCCGGCGGGTGTCGGGGTTGCAGTCGCTGCTGTGCCCCTTCCTCCAGCGCCGCAGCTTGGCGGCCGCCCCGGGCCGCAGCCGGCCGCATCGCGCCATGCTGCCCCGCGCCATGCCGGCCCCACACCGGCACCGGCCCCGCTTCCGCTTCCGGCGCACGCCGCCATTTTGAGGCAGCGTCGGGTTAGCCGCGGGGGGGGCGCGCGTGGGAAGCTAAGCAGGGTGGAGCCCGGCTGCGGCGTGGATGGGTGACCTAAGTGTGTAGTATAGGCAAAGGGCGCTGCCTGTCACCGCGGCACCGGGGGGTGAAATACGGGCGGCTCCGCGCCCCGAGTAGCTCGCTACGCGTTTCCCGGTGTCCGCCTTCCCCTCTCAGCCCCTTCTAAACACATTCCTCCACTGCGGGGGAGGTTTTTTCCTACGCCTCTACTCGCGTCACTACGGCCTGCATCGCGCCGCGCCTCGCGGCATTACGGCGCGTGACGTCACTGGCGCGAAGGTCGCACCGCCCTTCGCGGGCTCGCCATGCGCTACGTGCGGCAGGGCCCGGGCGCCGCGCCGGGCTGCGCATGCGCGCGGGGCACTGCCCGGGGCGGGGCCGGGCGGCGCGGGGCAGTCGCGGGCGGGCGGCGGCGGCGGCGGCAGGAGGGGGAGGCGGCGGCGCCATGGCGGCATACCGGCTGGTGCTCGTGCGGCACGGCGAGAGCGCATGGAACCTGGAGAACCGCTTCAGCGGCTGGTACGACGCCGACCTCAGCCCCGCCGGGCAGCAGGAGGCCAGGCGCGGCGGGGAGGCGCTCAGAGGTAACGGCGGGGCCTTCCCGTCACCATGGGGCCGGTAACGGGGCCCGGGGGGGCCGCGCTGTGTAGGCCTCAGCCGGCCGCGCACCCCCTCGGGGCGGTGGGCAGGGCCCCGGTGTCCTCCCCTTGTCCCCGGTACCCCCCCGGACCCCCTCCCGGTACCCCTCCGGTGCCCCCCCCCCGCTCCCCGTTATCCCCCCCCGGTCCCCGTTATCTCCCGTCCCAGTCCCCGTTATCCCCCCCCAGTCCCCAATATCCCCCCCAGGCCCCGTTCCCCCCGTACAGCCCATCCCGGTGCCCCCCCCCCCATCCCTTCCCGTTACGCAACCGTCCCGGTGCCCGGTTCCCTGCCCCCCCCCCGCCCCGTTAACCCCCCGGTGCCTTGCAGATGCCGGCTACGAGTTCGACATCTGCTTCACGTCGGTGCAGAAGCGGGCCATCCGCACCCTCTGGACCGTGCTGGATGCCATCGACCAGATGTGGCTGCCGGTGGTGCGGACGTGGCGCCTGAACGAGCGGCACTACGGGGCCCTCACCGGCCTCAACAAGGCCGAGACGGCCGCCAAGCACGGCGAGGCGCAGGTGAAGATCTGGCGCCGCTCCTACGACATCCCCCCGCCGCCCATGCAGTCCGACCACCCCTTCTACAGCACCATCAGCAAGGTGAGACACCGCGACCTCCCCTCCTCTGCTCTCCCTGGGTAGGATGAACCCAGGGCACGGCCCCGAGGCGAGGGGAGCTGTTAATTATTAGCCCTGTGATCAGCGCCCTGCTGTTTGCTCTGGGGAGAGAGGCTGCGGTGAGTGTCCCCCAGCTGGGCTTGTAGCCACGCAGTCTAGAAGCAAATCCCAAAGGTGTTTTCTCCTGGGCGTGTAGCTGCAAGCCAGCTCTGTGCGTGCACAGCAGGTCCTCGAGCCAAGAGCTGCTGCACGAGGCTCTGCTGCCACCTTCTTGTGCTGCTCTGCCCCTGGATTTACCCCTTGCTGGTGCCTGGGGGTGCGGGGCCATGGTGTGAACATGCTGTTAATGCAGGACCGGCGCTACGCTGACCTGACGGAGGACCAGCTGCCCACGTGTGAGAGCCTGAAGGACACCATCGCCCGCGCCCTGCCCTTCTGGAACGAGGAAATCGTCCCGCAGATCAAAGAGGGCAAGCGAGTGCTCATCGCAGCCCACGGCAACAGCCTGCGGGGGATCGTCAAACACCTGGAAGGTAGGGCAGCCCCCGCTCTGTGCTCACAGGGCTCTCTCCCTTGCACTCCCCATGGGTGACCGGCCCCTGTGTCTGCAGGCATGTCGGAGGAGGCCATCATGGAGCTGAACCTGCCCACCGGCATCCCCATCGTCTACGAACTGGACAAGAACCTGAAGCCCATCAAGCCCATGCAGTTCCTGGGGGACGAGGAGACGGTGCGCAAGGCCATGGAGGCCGTGGCCGCTCAGGGCAAGGTTAAGAAGTGAGGCCAGGCGCGCAGGCTAGCGAGTTAGTAGAGTTGTCCCCCCCTCTGTCCCCACCCCTCTGTGCACACCCCACAGCCGTAGGAACTTGGAGCTGCAGAGCTGGAGCAGGGAGCAGCTCCCCAGGACTTGGCCCCTTCCCTTTGGACCAGGCTCCCCTCTGCGGGCAGCCTGGGGGTGAGGGGCTGCGTGCACGGGGGTCTGGTGTGAAAGGGAGCCCTCACTCTGCCAGGCAGCACCCGCACCCCTCTCTGTTCTGTTCCCAGCCCTCGGGGGATGCTCTGCGCAATTCCTTGCCGTGCCTGGCTTCTCTGCTTTGTTTCCCTGCAGTTCTTGTCACTGTTACTGTAGTTCTGTTGCTTGATTTAGTTATTCCAGGGGCCCAGCAGGAGCAGTGGGGGGGAGTGCAGCACGGGCAGTGAGCGGGATGGGTGCCCTCTCCCCCTGTGGGAGCGTGGTGTGAAAACCAGTTTGTTTAATACTGCACGGGTGGGTTTGTGGCACGTGCCCCACTGTGCTCCTGTGTGGGATGCACCCAGCACTGGTACTTGCGAACCTGGGCCTAGCTCTGCCAGCCCATGCTTTAATTTATTGCCTTTGGACAAAGGAGGGAGCGCGTTGTCTGGGAGTTTGTATCTGCCACGTGCTTCCCGCTGCCAAAGCCCACCCTCGTCCTGCTGCCTCATGGTGGTGGCGTAGATGCCATTGTGCCCCCTCCCACAGCTGTGTACTTGGCACTGTCACCGTGGCCTCCCCCTGCTGCTGGTGTAGTGAGCCTGGCCGTGCACTGGGTCAATGTAACTGTCCAACAGTAGCAGCTGTCTTGTTCCGGTTCAATAAAAGATTAATATGCAATAAATGGTGGTGATTTCTGCTCACACCGTGCGCTGCTGGGCCACGCGGGGCTCCTGCCTTGCCCCCCGCCTCCTTTCCGGCTCCACCACGTGGCTGCCATGCGGCAGTTGCTGGGGCCTTGCAGCCGCAGAGGGTGCTCGGGGAGCAAAGCAGGGCTCTGCAATCACAGGAGAGTGATTCACCGCTGCTCAGCTGGGCTTTACTGGCTCTGGGGTGTGGTGCTCCCCGAGCCCCACAGGCACGTGAGGCAGGCATGGCCTGAGGTGATAACAGCCCTGGGATGAGCGCAGCCACAGCCTGTGCTGTTAGCACTGGCCTCAAATCCTCTTGGTGCCCCCTTCCCCTGCCATTTCCTGACCCCTGCACCCCACAGGACATGGCAGCAGCCAGGTCAGCGGGGCTGCTGGCAGCTGGAGCAACCCCTCTGGACAAAAACCAAGGAGAGCTCTCAGAAAAAGATTTATTACCTACAGCAGAAATATAAAACCCACCCTGCCGGCCCAGCCTCTCACGCACGGAGCTGCCCGGAGGAGCCCTCTGGCCATAGCCCAGCCCCTGCAGGGCCCCCGCAGCCCCCGGGGGTGCAGGCTGGGGGCCGAGGAGCCCGCTAGGTCTGCAGGAACTGGGGCTGCACGCGGGCCACCTTGCGGAAATCCTTGGTGTGCGTCTGGGGGCACTGCATCTCGCACCAGCTGATGGGCACCATCTGCACCCCTGCGGGCACTGTCTGTCAGGGGGCTGCTCGCCTTCCCCTGGCGTTTCCCATCCCCGGCAGCCCTGGGTGTCCACCTGGGTGTCCACCCACGGCACGCCAGGCTCGGCAGGACGGGGCAGGGAGGAGGCTGTTGGCTCTGGGCGCTGCCTCAGCAGCTCCTGGTCCCTACCTGCCTCGCTGCGAGCCACCACCACGCCCAGCTCGTTCTCCGCCGTGCTCAGCAGGTAGTTGGACTGCGCGTCCCCCAGGGAGATCTGGGCGGGGGGGGGGTTAAGGGAAAGGCCTCCCTGCACGGACCCCTGAATCCCAAAGTACCGATCCCAGGGTAAATAAAGGATACCACCTTGGCCAGGACGATGTCACCGGGGCGGAAACTCTTGTACACCTCCACCTGTGTGTGACAGAGGGGACACGGACGGGTGGCTGTGTGAGGGTGCTGCTCACCCCGGGGTGGGCTGAGCGCCAGCAGGGCTGGAGGGGGGGCGGCTCGTGTTCCCGGCAGCCCCGCTGACCTTATCCTTCTCGGTGGCTCGGATATCTTCCCTCCTGGAAAAGGCGAGAGAGCAATCCAACACCGGGCCGGCCCCCACCGCTCCTCACCCCGTGCCAGGAGCCGCCCGGGCCCCCCCTCTCACCGGATGGTGCCGCGGAAGGCGGAGCGGAGCGGCGTGGAGCCCACGTAGAGGATGTGCACCTTGGCGAAGCGCGAGTTGATGCTGCACACCTGAGGGGGCGAGAAAACGACGGCGGGGCCGTTACCCCCGTTACCCCCCCGGTGCCCCCCGGTGCCCCCCGGTGCCCCCCCGTTACCCTGCAGGTGACCACGGCGCCCACATCGGGCAGCAGCTGCGCCTCGGCGTCCCTCAGCACCGCCACCTGCGGCCCCCCGCCGTCCCCGCCGCCCCTCCGCATGCAGCCGGCCAGCGCCGCGCACACGGCCCCGCGCCGCGTGTAGGTGCCGCTGCCCGCCGCCGCCTCGGCCGCGCTGCACAGCCGCTCCCCCGGCACGCAGTACCGCCGCGCCGCCGCCATCTTGCCGCCGCCCGCACAGAGCCGCCGCGCTATTGGCTGAGGGGGAAAGGGGGGGATGAAAGAGGCGCGGCCATTGGGTGGAGGGGGGAAGGGGGAGCGCGGTGCGCGCTGGGAGTTGTAGTTTGTGGGGTGTTTATGGGGTGGGGGGGGGGAGGGAAATGGCGGGGCCTGGCGCGCAGGCGCCGCTGTAGGGCCGTGAGGGCGGAGGGGGGAGCGGCATGGCGGCGGCAGGCGGGGACGGGGCGGCAGGTGGGCGGCTGGGGGACCGTGGGGCTGGGGGGGGGGCATGGGGAAGCCCCATGGGTGCTGGGGGCGGCATGGGGATGGGGGCCTAGGGCGGCCCCATGGGGCTGGGGGGGGGCTGAGGGGGCCTGGGGAGGGCCCAAGGGTGCTGGGGGGGCCCAAGGGTGCTGAGCGCCCACGGGGCTGGGGGTGCTGGGGGTGCTGGGGGGGCCCATGGGTGCTGGGGGTGTCCCATGGGGCTGGGGGTGCTGGAGGGGCATGGGGCTAGGGGAGCGGGGGGCCCATGGGTGCTGGGGGACCCCTAGGGCTGGGGGTGCCCCATGGTGCTGGGGGCCCCCATGGGTGCTGGGCTGCAGGAGGCAGGGGGCAGGCAGGGGTCCAGGCCTGCTCTCAGGTGCCCCCTCGGGGGCTGCAGGGGGTCCCGGCCAGCGCTGGGTGCCCCATCAGGTGCTGGGCAGGGAGCAGGGGGGCGCTGCCCTGTCCCCGCTCTGCTCCCCCCCATGGGTGCCCTGCCCGGCTGCTGCTGTCGGTCAGGGAGGGAACCCCCTGGGGTTCAGCCACCTCCCCCTGAGATGTGGAAGCCTGGGTGGCAGCGGTGCGTGCAGGGCTGCCGTCCTCAGTGTCCGGCCCCACATGGCTCACGGGGCACAGGCACAGCTGACAGGGGTGGTTTTGGGGCTGGGGGTGCTGGGGGCTGCCTCCAGGCACTGCTCTGTGGTGCAGCACTGACACTGGCACTGCGCCGAGATGAGCGCTTGGTCCCAGCCCGGAGCGTGCCTTGGCAGCACCCCGGGGCAGTTGTGCTGGTTAATATTGATGGCCCTGCCTGCACGGAGCCTGGGGTCCCGACCCAGCAGATCGTTTGCCTCATTTCTGGGCCAGCTCGGGTTCCTCCTGGCTGCAGCACGGCTCCTGAGCAGGACGAGGGGCTGAGCAGGAAGGCGAGCACTGGGTGTGCAGCCTCGCCTCACCAGGGGCTGCCCATGGGGCTCTCCTTTGCTGGCCTTATCCCAATTGGGACTCTTGGAGTGGGGCTGTGAGGTTGGGATGAGCGTGGGGTGGCCTCTATGGCTTGGCCCAGAGGTTGAGGCAAAGGGAAGCAGCGTGCAGGTGCCACCTTTTGGGGTGAGGAGAGGGCTCCCCCTTCCCAAGCAGTGGGGACATGCTGGGGCTGGGATCACCCCGCTCTGCCAGCATCCCTGCTGCTCCCCTGCCCTGGAACGGGCCCAGCACCCCGGGTGCCCGCGCCGTCTCCGGTTTCCCCTGAGTCAGCCTCTCCGTGTCGCTCCCCGGCCCCCTCTCCTCGGGGAAAGATGAGATGGGACCAGGGAGCAGCTGAGGTCAGGCACGTTGGGCTGGGAGACCTACGGCCCCCACTCTGCGCCTGGAACCATCCCAGGGACGCAGCCTCGCAGCCTGGCCAGGCAGAGCTGGGGCTCAGCTCCCCCTGCTGCTGCTCTGCGCCCTCCCCGAGGCCAGCAGGTGAGGGGCAGCCTGCCCACGCCCAGCCTCTCCTCGCAGGCACGGCGTGGCGGGGATGAGGAGCCGGCAGCGGCTGCTGGCAGCGGTGATGCGCCTGCTCCTCAAGTGCCTGCGGCTGGGCCGGCGGCGGCGCCTGGGGCTGCTGCGGCAGGCGGGGCAGCTCTGGCACTACGGGCGCCTCTGCCTCCGCTCCCTGCTCTACAACTCCTTCACCAACAGCGACGTGGTGCTCGACTCCCTCTTCGAGCCGGTCTACTGGCTGGTGGACCACGTCACCCGCTGGTTCGGCGTGGTGAGTGCTGGGGGGGTGCTGGGGGTGCTCGGTGTGAGCTGTGCTGCTCCAGGCAGGAGGAGCAGGGGCCTTGGTGTGGGTCCTGCTTTGTTCCCGTGCCTGCATTTTGTCTCTCCTGAGCAGCACGGGGAAGATGCTGCCCTCTCTGCTGACCCAGGTCCCTTTCCCTCAGGTGTTCGTGGCGCTGGTGATCGGGCTGACGAGCTCCATCGTGGCCATCGTGTACATCTGCCTGCTGCCCCTCATCCTGCAGACCTACACGCCTGCCTGGATCTGCTGGCACCTCACCTACGGGCACTGGAACCTCATCATGATCGTCTTCCACTACTACAAGGCCATCACCACCTCACCCGGCCACCCCCCGCAGGTGGGCACCACCAGGCACCAGCTACAGCTGAGCCCTGGGAGCACCTCGAGCACCCTGAGCGCTCCTGGAGGCCGGGCAGTGCTGGGAGGAGAGGCAGGGGAGGCGCAGAACACGAGGAGCAGGGGACAGCGTGGTGATATCCCCTCTTCTGACCTGTGTGCAGGCCAAGAACGATGTCACCGGCGTCTCCATCTGCAGGAAATGCATCGCCCCCAAGCCGGCTCGCACCCACCACTGCAGCATCTGCAACAGGTAGGGCTGCCCGGGCCAGCACCCACCCCTCTCCTTCCCTGCCGCGTGCTGGGCGGGCTGAGCCCCTTCCCCTCTGCTCTGCTGGCTTCTCTCCTGGCCCTAGCACAGCGTGAGGGGCCGGGGGGTGGCTGCCCCTTCCCGGGCACGGTGCTGGTGTTGGCGCTGACACTTGTGCTGCTCTCCTCCCCCCTAGGTGCGTGCTGAAGATGGACCACCACTGCCGTATCCTTCTGCACTGCCACCCAGCTCCTGGGCAGCCAGCCCTGCTTCCTCCCCCTCGCCCTGCCCCACTTCTCTCCCACATCCCCCAGCCCGGGGAGGGAAGGGTGCTGGGAGCCTGGCCAGGGGGCCTGATCCCCGCGGGGAGGGTTTGGACTGGCCGACCCGCAGCAGTTACAGACCTTTAACCCCAGGGGCAGCCTGGCTGAATAACTGCGTGGGGCACTACAACCACCGCTACTTCTTCTCCTTCTGCCTCTTCATGACCATGGGCTGCATCTACTGCAGCATCAGCGCCTGGGACATGTTCCGGGACGCCTACGCAGCCATCGAGGTGAGCGGGCAGCCCCAGCCCCTGCTCTGCCCCAGCAGACGAAGCGCTAGCGTGCACAGAGGCTGCCTGGGCCCCCCGGGCTGAGCTTGCAGAACAGGGCTGGAGCAGCCCCGGGGGCGTAGTGACTTTGCTCCCCTTCTCCCTCCTCCTGCGAGGCCCGTGCCGCCCTGCTCTGGTGAGGTTTGAGGGGAAAGAGCCCTCTCCTCGGAGCCACGTAACTGGTGCCCTGTTTTCCATCCCCCTAGAGAATGAAACTGCTTGAGAAGGACAGACTGCAGGTGGCTGCCAACCAGGTGGGACATCCCTGCTGCAGGCAGCGCGGAGCAGAGCTGCCCTGCAGCCTGGGTCCTGCTCTCAAGGTGCAGCCCGGGGCCAGCGCCAGCCCCCGTGCTCATCCCGTGGGTCCCAGAGCCGGGCTGGCCGGGCAGCTCCGCTGCAGCGCTGCCTCCAGCAGTCAGGGGGCTGCTTCCCCACGCACTGAGCTTCCAGGGGCTTCGGCTGGTGGCAGCAGCTGCTTGGCATGTGCTGCTCAGGCCCTGCTCTCCTGGGGAAGCAGCAGCACGTACACCTCTCCCCTGAGCATCCCCCGCTGCGTGGTGCAGGGACCTGCCCCCTGCCTCCACCCCCTGCTTGTCACTCCCGTGCCAGCTCTCGGGTGATGTCTGTGTCTTGTGGCTGTCTCAGGCTGCCTCCCCATGGCCCTGGCTGTTGTGTTGGTTCTGGCTCCAGCCCTCTCCAGCTGCCTGATCCCTGCATCAGCAAAGGGTACAGCCATCCCTGCCCGGCTTCAGGCTGTTGAGCAGTTTGGGTGACCTCCCCGCTCTGTCCTGTTGCAGACGTACTACCAGACCCCGCCGCCCACCTTCTCCTTCCGCCAGCGAGCCTTCCACAAGAGCGTGGTGTACCTCTGGGTGCTGTGCAGGTAACGGGGCACGGGCTGGGCGCGAGGGGGCTGCAGGAAGCAGAGGGCAGCCTGTTCGGTGCTGCCCTGCACCCCACCTCCCCTGGGCCACACTGGGCTCCAGCACAGCCATCTCTGCCCTGCTGCCTCGTGGGCGTCACGAGGAGCAAGTTCAGGGCCCTGGCCCAGGAGGAGGCTGAGGAAGGCAGCCCCAGCCCCTGACAGCAGTGAAGGTGTTAGGTGCAACCCGCTGTGCCTTGCTGTTCCCAGCTCTGTAGCACTGGCCCTGGGTGCCCTCACGCTGTGGCACGCTGCCCTCATCACCCGCGGGGAAACCAGCATCGAGAGGCACATCAACAAGAAGGAGAGGCAGCGGCTGCAAAAGAAAGGCAAGGTGAGTGCAGCCCCCGGGGTGGGAGGGCCAGCCGGGCAGAGCTGGGTTTGATGTGCGTCTCCCTAACGTGCAGGTGTTCAGAAACCCCTACAGTTACGGCAGCTGGGACAACTGGAAGGTGTTTCTGGGAGTGGACGTGCCCAGGTAAAGCCCCAGGGGAGCCCCTGTTGGGGAAGGTGATGGCACAGCAGCGGGTGGGGGTGCTGAGGGCGAGCAGGACAGAGCTGTCACAGCACCTGAGGGACACGGGCTCACACTCCTCGCTGCTGCCAGCCCTGGCTGTGCTCCCCAGCTGCTGAGCCCTCAGCTTTCTCTCCCCACAGGCACTGGCTCACCCGTGTCCTGCTGCCCTCTCCTCACCCACCCCATGGAACGGGGCTGAGCTGGGAGCTGCCCCCCTGCGTGCGCGAGCAGCGCGTGCCGCTCCTGGCCATCTGAGGGCTGGGTGCCGCAGACACAGCCCTCCCTGCCGGCAGGGGAGCACGAGGGGACCCAAACCCAGCACCCTGGCTCTGTTCTGGCCCGGGGGCTGCTGGCAGGCAGGTGCTGGCACGCACTGCTGAGCCTGAGTGGAGCCAGAGCCCCGGGACGCTCTTTGCACTTGGTCGGTACCTGAATGCCTGCTCTGCGGCACCTCGGGGGCTGCAGGCGGCCCCGGGGAAGGGGCAGAGCTGGAGGCACCACCCTTGCTTCTGCACGAGAGGCCCAGCTCGGCTTCCAGCAGGCTTGGGGGCAGACGATGGCTGACCTGCTCCCCAGGCACTTTTTAAGACCATCCAATAAATGTGGTTTTGTTTGTTTTGTTTTTAAGGAGCCCGGCTCTTCTCTGTGGTGGGGGGCACAGCAGTCTGGGAGCAGGAGGGTGATGATTCCCCACCAGGTGGAGTTAGGGTGTGCAGGGCATTGGAGGCCCAGCCCAGGCTGCACCGAAATCCCTCACAGCGTTACCAAAACAGCTGTTTATTCCTCTTGCAGAGGGGCCGCTGCGCACCGTACCCGTGTGCACAGGCCTGCCCTCTCCCTTCACGCAGGGCGAGTCTGTCCAGCACTGTCCCTGGCTGCAGGCAAGCCACGAGCAGCACAAATCCTTCACTCCCGTGGGTGCAGGGAAGATGGGGGGGTGCCGGGGTGCCGCTGTCTGCTGGCCCCCACGCTCCAGGCAGTACCAGCTCCCGGGGAGGCTGTGCCCGTGGTGTCAGTTGTGTGGCTTGGCAGGGCGGCAGCAGGCCCGTCAGGTTGTCAGCCAGCATGGGGAGGGCATGCGGGGCACTCACCTGCCCGGGCTCCCCACCAGGAACCTGTGGGGACAGAGACGGTGCTGAGCCACCTCCCCACCACCCCAGCTCCTTCCCAGCTCCAGCAACAGCCGCTCACCATTCCCCCCGTGCTGCCACCGCCTCCTTCCGCACCAGCCTCTTCTTGTCATCCAGAGGCTTGGCCAGTGCCCGGATCACTCTGGCTTTGTAGGGGAGCAGCTGTAGGACAGAAACTGCTCTTAGTGAGAGTGCCAGGGTGCTGTGTGCCCCCCGGGAGCCCCCTGCAAGCAGGGGCAGGCAGCAGGAGCACTTACCACGATGGTGGGCAGGCTGGTGAGCGCGTGGGCGCAGCGCAGGGCGGCGATGCGGACAGCCTGCAACACACAGCGGTGAGGGAAGGGAGGGGAGAGGGGCGCAGGACCGGGGAGCGGGGCGCAGGACCGGGGAGCACGGTGCAGGAGAGGGGTGCACGCACCATGGCGGGGCTGGAGGTGAGGCTGAGGAACTTGGTGACCAGTGTGTCGACAGTGAAGGCTCATGATCTGCGGAGCTTCAAGCAGCAGCGGCTGGAGGCAGCTGAGGGTGGAGAGCTGCACCACGCGGTCCGAGCAGGATAAGGCCTCGAGCAGGAGGGAAAGCAGCTGTGGGGGGGGGGAGGACACAGGAGGCAGTGAGCAGCTCCCGGACCCTGCAGTCTGGGCACCAGCCACGGTCCCCCTGCTAGGAACAGCTCTCACCGTGGGTAGCTCCGTCACCAGCACGGGCCTGGGGAGGTGGTTGAGCACGTGGGACAGGCCCTTCAGGTAGTTGGCCTTCACGTCTGCGGAGGGCAGAGACGGTTACGGGCAGGAAGGAGAGGACGCCGGCTCCAAGCCCCTGGGTGAGGGGGCAGGGGGTGGTGGGGCCAGGGCCAGCTCTCACCGGGGCCAGCCCCGTGGAAGCCCTGCACCAGCTTGGGCACGTTGTCGGTGAAGAAGCGCTGGCGGAACATGATGCGCACGTCGGCGTGGCAGCCCTTGTGCAGCACGTCCGGGGACTCGGCCATGAGCAGGGAGAAGCCGTCGGCCGCAGCGGGGCCCAGCTCCACGTCGCCCAGCAGGCCCAGCAGCTGCGAGGGACAGAGCGCTGGGACGGGGTGCCCGCAGCCAGAAGGCTCCTCGGGGAGCACCCGGCCTCCCTGCTGCTTACCTTGTCCGTCAGCTGGGAGCTCAGGGGGTGGTAGCGCAGCACCAGGGCTTTGGTCACCTGTGTGGGCAGAGCAGAGTCAGCACCATGCTGCCCCGTGGAGGGGGGAGCACAGAGGGGGGAACCCTGCTTACCCAGAGCAGCAGGGTGAGCGCCTGCTCTCGGCGCGGCCCCTCTGCGAGGCCGGGCTCCATCCTGTTCACCGTGAGCTGCAGGATCTCATCCAGCTGCTGCCCTGGGGATGCAGAAGGGACAGGCTGAGCCCTTTCCCTGCCACCCCCGTGCCGGGACCCCCAGGCCCTGCCCGGCTCCCTTACCCGCCGGGTGCTTGTTCAGCAGCCCCGCGAAGCACTTGGCGGCCGTGGTGGCTGTGAAGGGGCAGTTGCAGGAGCAGCTCAGCGCCAGCAGCTCCCGGAGCAAGCGTTCCTGCTGGGGGATCACCACCTGAGAGGGACACAGAGCGTGTCACAGCCTGGGGCCACAGCTTGTCCCTGCCTCTGCCCACAGAGCTTGCTGTGGAGCTGGGCAGGATGGTGCTCAGGCAGGACCCTTCTCCCCCCCAACTTACATCACGAGGCAAGGAGCAGACAAAGGCCATGAGGAGGGCGACCAGGCGCCTCTGTGCCTCCAAGCACTCCCCCTCCTGTGGGGGAAAAACAGCGCCCACATCAACCACGGCCCCTGCTGACAGCCTGCGCCCACATCCTCACTTCCTGCCCCTGTTCAGTGCCCCCTACGCACCGCAAAGGGCTGGAAGGAGCAAGGGAAACTGTTCTGGGGCAGGAAGGAAACCTCTCCATCCAGGAAGAGGGGCACCACGTGGGCCACGCTCTGGGCAGCCAGCCTAGGAGAAAGGAGACGCTGCAAAATGCTGCTCTGGGAGCATCACCACAGAACTCCCCGGAGGCACGAGGCCACCCCGGGGAGCAGCAGAGGGGAACGCAGCCTGCGCTGTGCCCCACGCCAGCAGTACTCACTCAGGGCTAAGGTGGGTGGTGGCAGCGCTGATCACGGGGACCATGGCAGCCAGCACGTCCTCCTCCAACAGCGCCTTGCCCAGGAGTGGCTGGGTGCTCTCTGCAGGCAGCAGGGCAGGGATTTGGTGCTGCAAATGTGCAGCTCTGCCCCTGGCAGGGGGCAGCAGGGCCCGCAGTGCCCGCGCCTGCCGGCGGGTGGCAGCAGCAGCGCTCTGCAAAGCCCCAGGAGCTCAGGGAGCCGCTGCCGGCCCCTCCCGGGCTCCAGCCCCGCACCTACCCTGCATGGCAGCCTGCACGGCCATGGCCAGCAGACAGGGCACCACGGCCTGGTGGAAGTACCAGCAGCCCTCCGCGTCCTGCTGGCACTGCAGGGCCACGCGGTGCAGGCTCTGGCACACGGAGATCACCTCTTGGGCACTGCCAGCCTCACTCCCTGCAGGTCACAGACACTGTCACACCACCCCGTCGGTGCCAGCAGCATCCCGGGCTGCCACCACGAGCAAGAAACCCAGCTCCTGCCCGGACACACGGTGCCCTGCTGCCCATTCCAGGCTGAGTTACCTTTCTGCACCTTCCGGAGATGCTGCAGCAGGACGGGGACGGTCTCCCTCACGATGCTGGCATGCGTGGACACGGCTGCCAGGGCCTGCAGGCAGCGCTGCCGCAGGGAGCGGAGGTCCAGGGATCTCTCCTCCTCCCGCTCTGAGGAGAAAACACACCCCAGGGGGGCGTTAGGGTGGCACCCAGGCCATTCAGGACCCAGCCCATACCAGGGTAGATGGGGTGCAGAAGCACAGGACCACCCCAAGCCAAGCCCAAGGCTCCCTGCCATAGCTGGGCAGCTCCTCGAGGGCAATCCCAGCTGCAGTCCCTAGCCGCAGCCCTCCCAGTGCCAGCACCACATTGTGCTGGGAATCCCCCACCAAGGACAGCCACAGACCCTGTGCCGTGTGGCACAGCCTCCCTGCTGCACCCCAGCACCAGAATCATTCCCCTCCCACCACCACCCCTACCTGACTGCAGCTCCTCCCCGAGCCTGGGCACCATGCGCCCGGAGAAGACCTTTGGGTAGATGGGGGCCAGAGACCCAGCTGCCTCCATCGCTGCTTCGCTGCCAGGAGGGAAGAGCACAGAGGGGGGAACGTAAGCTATGCAAACCCTGAGCTGCTGGTGCAGCAGCTGCAAAGATCTGGGCCAGAAGGTGCCTCCAGAAACCCATTTCTCAGCAATCTGCCTTTTTCACACTACCTGGCTAGCAGTGCAGAGCCCCCTGCAGTTGCAGGCCCAGGCTTTCTGATTTACAGACCACAAACTACTGGTTCACCCCTTTGCTTTTACACCCATGCCTCCACCCAGAGGCCTCTACAGCCCCTCTCTGCGAAGATGAGTTCTGTTCCTCCTCCCAGAGTGTGGGTGACTGGAGTACAGCCCTCACCTGCTCTGGGAATCCTCCTCAGTGCAGGGCGAGCCGGATGAGGTGATCCACAACCAGCTCCAGGTCAGAGGGAGACAGGAAACCTGGAACAAGAGCCGCAGAGGAATCATGCCCTCGGCCAAAGACAAAGATCCCAGTGTCCTCCCCCCTTGTCTGGGGTATCAGCAACACTGCAGTACAGACTCCAGAGATAGAAGGAATCCAATATGAACAGGTGAGAGTGAAATCGAGTGTCCCTAGAGATCATGGCCTGGGTAGGAAGTGCTGCCACTGCTCCTGTGTGCCTACGTGCAGCACAGGTGGCCAGCCAGGGTGTCCCACGGCTCCCAGAACGGGGTGACACCTCCCCCTGCCTCCCCAGGAGAAGCGAGGCACCAACCTTGCAGGGAGCCCAGGACGGTCAGCGCCCTGATCCCAACCAGCTGCAGCTGCACACTGGGGTCTGTCAATGCTGAGAACACCACAGAGCAGACTGGGGCTCGCAGGGACAGCACAGCGCTCTCATCTGCAGACAGAGGCACAAACGGAGTCACTGCTGGCAGCTGGCTGTCACAGCAAAGCCACCCCCATGGCACTGGACAGACTCTTTTCCCTGTCTGTTCACACCCATACAGGATCCCTGGCACAGGCAGGTGGGCTGCACAACAGTTGCCCCCAAGTCAAGGAGCTTTTGTTCTCCATCAGGGTAGGGGAAGGTGAGGGCAGTGCCAGAAGCCCCCTAGGACACAGCAGGGGTACGTGGGTACCTCTGGAGGGACCAGCCTCACCTTCTTCCACATGTCCCCATTTCTGCTGCAGCTCCAGGAAGCCCAGCAGCATTTCCAGGATTGTCCTCCTCTGGCTGCTCTGCAGGGACACAAAGGCACATCCCAGCTCACCGTGACTGCTGGGACCCAGCTGCATCTCAGCCCAGTGCCACGAGGCCAGGGGTGCCCCTCACCTGCGAGTGCTTGTTGTACTGCTCCAGCAGCAGGGGCAGCACGCTGTGGGTGAGGCGGTGGTAGGAGCGCAGGGACGCACCCGCTGCTGCCTGCAGGAGTTTGGCACTCGGCCACACCAGCTTCATATCGGGCTCGCACAGATGGTGCCTGCAATCTGAGATGTGCTGCGTGTCAGCCACCCCAGCAGGACCGCCCCTGCCTCGCGTGCAGGGCACAGCTGGTAGCTGGGCTGGGACTCGCTGCTGGGGCACGGCTCTGAGCTGCAGCACAGCCTCCTTGGCAGAGCTGCTGCCTCCAGCTCCAGGCACGCAGCACAGCTCTGGACTCCCCAGTCCCAGCTAGGAGGGAAGCAACTCAATCCAATTTGTATGCCCTACTGTACCCTCTCTTCTCCTCCCTCCTACTGCCAATTCCCTCGAGAGAATTCCCTCAGAAGCCAGTGCTAGCTGGGAGACCCAGACAGAGAAGAAACAGACTTCAAAGAGAACACGGGGGCAGACATCTCTGGCTAGGAGGATGCTTGCAGGCCTGGCAGCACCCGCAGGCCTGGCTGCTCAGGGCAGGGTAGGTCTCCAAGCCAGCTACCTTGCAGGATGCTGCTAAGGAAGGAATCCAGGAGGTCCTCGGCGTCTGAGCTGAGCACGGAGCGGGAGAGGCAGGCGGAGAGGGCGTGCAGTGCAGCCAGGCACTCTGCCTCCACCTTCTCGCTTGCTGTCTGGAACACCTGCAGGAGACACGTGGGGTGAGCAGCACGTGGTGCTGACCCCGGCTGCAGGCTTCACGTTCCCAACACAGGGCTAAAGGGCTCAGGCTGCAGCACGCAGGAAGTGGTGCTTCTAACAACACAGCCAACAAGCCCCGTGACACACCGGGAGGGGTGGCCTGTCCCCCCAGCCCTGTTTTTCAGTTGGGCTGTCCAAAACCACTGGCAGGGGCTGGTAGGAGACATGGGACCCTTGAGGCCTGCCTTTGTTAGGGGCCCTGCAGCACTCACCTCCCTGCGCAGGGATGACCAGAGGCTGGGGAGGAATTCCTGCAGCTCCTTCTGCCCGTAGATGGCACAACAGGCAGTCTGCAAGAGAGAGACAGGAGAGAGGATCAGAGAGACCTCAGGACCAGTAGGACACAGAGCAGGGACGCTGTGAGACAGGAAAATGTGGACCAGGCTCTGCAAGGGAGAGTCTTTGGCTGTCAGACACAGGAGAGGAACTACTGCTGGCACAGGCCAGTGTGAGCAGTGGGGGATCCCTCCTTACCAGAGTCTGCAGGGCATCGAGCTTGGCACTTTGCAGGTCCGAGTCCATCTTCTCAATGAGCAGAGGGAGCAGGAACTACAGAAAGAGGTGGTTAAGGCAGCCCTCTCTGTGCCACACTGTCCCTGGCCCTGCAGGGCTGCAAGCTCAGCCTCTGCCAGGAGAGCAGAGCTAGAGAGAGACGTGCAACAGGCAGCCCCTTCCCAGGGTGTCACCCTCCACTGTGCCCAGCCCCAGGGACAGGCAGGACACAAGGGCTACCAGCAGGCTCCTGGTCCCAGTTGTTCCCTTCCCACAGAGCTGCTCTGGGAGCTGCAGAACCAGGAACTGCAGCCTGTGCTCAGGCATGGTGCTCACGAGCCCGAGGAGCCACCTACCTCAGCAAACTGGGGCGTGGAGGCCAGCACGGCCCGGAGGCTGAGGAATCAGGTCCTCTCTCTGGATGCCATGAGGGTCGTTGGGGGGCTGGAAGCACAGAGAGAAGGTCATGAAACATCAGCCAAGGCTGCATCACCTCATCTCCAGCAAGGCAGCAGCAAGGCCAGCCTACAGGCAGCTTGGCACTGGCCTGGGTACCAGAGCTGGCAGCACAGCACTGCCCAGCTCAGACTCTCGCCCATCCTCTCCTCCCAGTCCCTGAAGGGGACACGAACCCTGGGAAAACACCAGGAGGAAGGGGTTATGGCACGGGGCAGACTCACTCACTGGAGTAAAATCAATGGGGAAGTAGCAGGATGTCACTTCAAACAGCTCCTCCACAAAGGGACCTGCGGGGAGAGGTCAGCGTTAGCAGAGCTGCTGAGCAAGGGAGGCACAGCTCTGCCCAGCAGCCGTGACAGGCTGGCTCTGCAGCTCCTAAATCACATCAGGGACACCGAGCCCTGCTCAGACCCAAGAGCCATCCCTCCAACAGTTCAAGGAGAAGCGATTCCGCCCCCCAATTGGCTCTGCATTGCAGGCCCAGGCTCACCCAGGGCATAGTTCTTGGCAATGAGATCACGCACGATCTGGAAGGCCACCAGCAGGTTGCGGGGATCCTTCTCCCCATCCATCACCTGGATGAAGCCAAAGGTGAAGTCAGCCCCCAGGCCCTTCAGCTCTGCAGAAAGAAGGTGCAGGACACGAGACCTCACCAACACAGCATGGAATAAGCCCAGCTTCCCCAGTCCCACAGCCCGTCCAGCTCTCCTCAAGCAGTGCTGCAGAGCCCTCTGAGCAGAAAGCAAGCCACGTTCCCAGCCCAAACAACCCCAGAGTGCTTCTGGCATCTGCCCTCTCACCTTCCTCCCTGGTGCCCATGAAGTTGGTGATGATGCTGTAGACTGTGTGGCGGTCCAGCTGCAGCAGGGACTGGAGGAAGGAGCAGAGGAATCAAAACAGGCCCCTGTACAGGCAGCACTGCTACCAAGCACCCAGGGGCACACACAGGCAGCACCCTCACAGCTCTGCTGCTGCTTTGGGGCCTGCAGGTCCCACGTACCACATGCAGAGCATGCACATGCTTGTGCAACTGCACCTGAACACAACCGTGCCCATCACTAAATGGGCACGCTATCACAGTCACACCTGGGCTCATACGCTGCCCAAGGCCTGCCAGCATAAACAGCCTTAAGATGGAGAATTTGGGAGCTGGAGCCACTTAAACACTGCCTGGAGAACGGAAAAAAGGAAATGATCCCCCTAGGGCTGGTACAGGAGAGGACAAGGGCCAAACAGGAATCTCAGCTGCCTTCTGCCTCTCACTCTGCAGGCTGTCTGAGCTCTGCAGGAGCACTGCTGCTGCTGGAGGATGTGCTACGCTGCACTGCTGCTGCAGGTGCTCGGTCCTAAAGCAGGCAGGCTGTCCCCAGGCACACAGAGAACAGGGACAGGAGGAAGGAAATGACATTGCTCACCTGCACGTGCACCTCCTGGAAGATGGCTTTGAGCACGGATACTGCTAGCCCTGGGGCTAGTACCTCACACATGCTCTGGGAACAGGAAGAGAAAAGCAATAGGAAGGATGACTCTGTACTTGCAGGACCCTCTCCTGCCCTGGGGGAGCTTGTCACCCTCACAGAGGAGGAAGGACAGGACATCTGTCATTTGTGCTGTCCCTAGGGCACACAGGGTGTCCTTGCCCCAGTACCGGGCAGAAATTCACAGCATTCCCCACCCCCTGCGAGGGGACAGCAGGAACAGGACACAGGGTGATGCTGCGGGGCAGGAGCTGATGGCCCAGCTGGTCTCTGCCCGACACTGCTTCAGCTCGTACCTGTGAGCTGCACCCCCAGCACCCCCTGGAGCCATCCTCATGCTGTGGGACAGGAGCTCACCAGCGCACGGAGTCCCTGCAGCACCGAGGGGATCACGAGGTGATGATCTTGCAGCCGGTTCTCGTAGAACAGGACCAGGTGCAGCGCTGTCAGAAACAGACCCCGCGGTGCGTTAACCCTGGCAGGAGCTGCTGGGCGAGCAGCGAGAACATCTCTGCATTCCCTTGGTGCTGACACTTTCTCCCTCCCCCCGTGAGGGACCACAGCTGGCCGCGGTGGGGCAGCACCCGCCTCCGGAGGTGCTGCAGCCACCCAGGCCATGTGCAGCCTGCCCAGACACGTGGCTGCAGCCCCGGGCAGGGAAGCGGCAGCCGCCCGCTTGGCCCAGGCTGCAGGATGTCACGGGGTGGGGCAGGAGCCCCGGCTCCCCCGCGCTCAGCTCCACAACACGTTCCTGGGGCCTGAGTCACGGCCACGGGCGCCTGCACGGCCCGGCCCTGGGGAGCGGCGGCAGGAAGCGGACTGGAAGAGCCGGCTGGCAGCATCCTGCGCCCACGGCCGCCGCACAAAGTGTCCCCCCCCCGGCAGGCAGCCTGACGCAGCGCCTGGGAAATGAGCTGCGTGAGGAGGGCCACGAAGGGAGACGGGCTGGCGGCCGTGCCGCGGCAGCTCCCCTCCCGGGGCTTGGCTCTAACCCGGTGTGTTCCCCTGAACCTCAGCAGCTCCTTCTGTTGCTGCACTGCTAACCCAGCCCCGGCACAGTCACCACACCTGGCTCCAGCTCCAGCAGCAGCTCTGAGCATATTCTCCCTCTGCCCAGCACCAGTCTGAGACTTTGGTAGAGCCCAGCATGTTCTAATTCCATCCTTCCTTTCCCCTGCCTCTCCTAACTACTCCCCTGCCTTCCTGCCAGCCTGCTGGTGTGGGATCAGCGACCCACCAGCAAGGCCCCCAGTCCAGCTCAAGACCTGGCAGCACTTATTTGGGTTTCCCTGCTGCCAGCCAGCTGCTCTGAGGCCTTTAACACAACCAAACCTTCTCCTCACCTCCACGAGTGGGGCATCTTCCCCTCCCACCCCCATCTTCTTCTCTGCTCTCGCCCTCACGCTGATCTCCCCTCCTCCCCAGGCCACAGAGGTCCCCCAGAGCCAACCCGTGCAGCCCGAGGGCTGCGGCGTGACTGGCTGTGTGAGTGATGGCTTTCCTGCACTGAATCACCACGCGGGGATCCTGACGTGCAGATGTGTCCCCGAGGCCTCCCACGTGGCGCTGAGCACGCCCGGGTATGCAACACCCACACACTGCCGGGGGCACCAGCTGCAGAGCCAGGCCCAAATCACGTCGGGAGGGTGGCACACAGGCTGCAGCGTGAGGCCCCGTGTCCTCCTTGGACTTTGACCCTTGAGAGATGCACGCAGAGCTGCCATGGTGCTAAAGCAACCTGTTTGCTGAGTGCAGGACAGGCTCTCAGGGCCCCCAGCCCGCCAGGCAGCCGGTGTGGGGCGCAGAGCAGCCCTTACCTTCCTTCTCCTGCAGCAGGGAGTGACACTCAAGCAGGACCTGTGACAGCAGCTGGATGCCTCGCCCTCGCGTCCGAGGATCTGTGTTCTCCAAGCAGAACCTGCCCCACGCACGGCAAAAACCCCAGAGAGCTGGTGTGAGCGGGGACACGAGCAGGAGGCACGTCCCAAATGAGCACGTTACAAGCTGAAGGGCGCTGCTCACTGGGCACGGCCCTGCTGATGGCACTCGGGGGAGCTGATTCCTCCTCCTCCCCAGCCAGGCTGTCCCCAGCAGGAGCTGTCCCAGCTGCGACGTGTTCTGGGGCTCGCTGCCCACCACAACACCTTCCCACTGCCCTGGGAGAGCCTCGTGGGCTGCTCTGTCCCTGTCTGTTCCCAAATGGCTCCCCTGTCCTGCGAGGGCACTGACTGCAGCCAGCCTGCCCCGCACGAGCTGGCAGCTCACACACTGCTCCTGCTTGTGGGAACGTCCCCTGCAGTCTCCTTACCCCAGCGCCTCCACGAGTTGCAGCACAGTCCAGCTTCCATCTTTCACCCCTGCAGAAAAGAGGCAAAGGGAGTGAGCCAGGGACTCCCTGACCCTCCCTTAGGCACGGCCCTGGGGCCAGGGGCTGGGAAGTGCACCATGGACAAAACAGGAGGTGGCACAGAGCTACCCCCCCAGTGCTCCCCAAGAAATCAGACTGTTCACAAGGCCAAATAGCCCGGACACTCCCAAACACCCAGCTGCCACGGCTCTGCGCTGAGCAACACCTGCACAAACTCCCTGCAGGCTGGGGGCACGGAGAAACACGGCTTTGTGGTCGCAGCAAGGCAGCGCCGGGACTCCTGGAGCCTGTTTCCAGCTCTGACTCAGACAGCCCGGCCAGGTTGCTTCACTCCCCTCCTGCCCCAACGCTGCTGCAGCTGAACTGGGGGAAGAGTCACTCCCCCGGGAGGCTTTGCTAAGGCCTGGCTGCATCCTAGGGAAGCCCTGGAGAAGGGCAGGGTCTCTCCTGCCACCCACAGCCTCGTGCTCAGGCACGGTGCAGCTCTAACCCATACCCCTGGTGTCAGGGGACACTGCTCGTGCCTCCTCCCTTGACCACCCCGCAGGAGGTCCGAGCACGGAGCTGCCTTTTTGAAGCAGCGCCTCCCCCGAGCTGCCCGTGACCTCAACAGGAAGGAGCGAAGCGTGAGCTCTGCCCGCAGCCGGCTCTTTGTGCTCCTGCGGGCAGGAGCCCCTCGCTCTGCTGCAGCGGGCGGGCTCGCCCTGCTCTCGGGGAGCGGGAGGCCGCAGGGCTTTGCCTCTCACGAGGCGACCACAGCAGCCCCAGCAGCAGCACCGCTGCCGGCTCGCAGGGACCTGTGTCCTCCCTGACACCTCCCCCGCCCTTCCACACACCAGACACCATTTCTGCACCTTTTCTGCTCCTCCTGTCTCCCCCAGCCCCTTAAAATGTGATGGATCCCTGCTACAGCACCTCCCCTCTCCCTGCTGTTTAATACCAACAACCTCAGCCTCCTCTGACACTTGTGCATCCCGAGCTGCCCATGACAGCACTGAAGCCCTTCTCCCCAACTCACACCTAATTCAGTGCTCAGCAGCACGCACGAGCAGCTCGCCATGCCTCTGCCAACAACTGCACAGAGGCCACGAGGTCAGAAAAACCTCCCCTTTCGCTCAAGGACAGGGGATGCAATGCAATACTCTCTGGCGTGCGTTCTGTGTGAGGTCAGCAGGGCCTGAGGTGGGGGTCGGTGTGCCCCAGGTGCCATACGGTGAGCGGGAGCTGGGGACGGCTCCTCTCTGCGTGGCTCTGAGCAGACAAAGCCTTCCCCAGGCACTTCTGTAACATGACCAGGGGCGACAACAGCAGCTGTAAGGTTATCTGCCCTTGCCTCTGTTTCCCCGCTCTGTCTCAGATATGTCAGGGGCTTTGTGCAACTCTTGTGAATGTCACCCAGCTTAGTGAATTTCCTTTCATTTCCTCCAATTTCCTTCCATTTCCCACCACTGGTCAGTTTACAATCCAGCATCTCCTCAACAAGCTGCTCCTGTCTGTAAGGCAGCCGATGCAGCCCTTCCCTCTCAAACCCTTTCCACAAAGTGCCAAAGCCACTGGAAGGAAGAGTAGGAAGACAAACGTGCTGCCTTATCCTTAAAAAGCCATCCTCCCGCAGCTACACATTCCTCAGCGTAACGAAGCCACCACACCGCTGCTCCGAGCGGAAAGAAAATTATCCCAGGAAATCCAAACGCCCCAAGCCCTGCCAGGAGACGAGAAACCACAGCAGCAGCAGCACGAGCCTCGCGCTCCCCTCAGCTCACCCACCCTGCGCCCCAAATCCCATTCCCTGACCCAGAGCAGCCCTGGCACCACTACCAAACCCTACAGCTCCAGCCCCACCCCGTGCTCTGGACCAGCCCTATAAAACCCCAATTATCCCCAGAGCCCTGCAGCTGTGCTTTCACCCCATCCCCAACACCCCCGCACCCCTCCCCGTGCTGCTGCCCCACAGGTGCCCCGCAGCCCCCAGCCCCTCCCCCTCAGGCTCTGGCTCCCACCTCCCCCTCTGCTGCACATCCCCCTGTGCTGCTGCTCCGCCACCCCCAGCCCCTGCCCCTCAGCACCCCACGGCCACCACCCCAAGGCCACAGCTCGCGCCCAGCCCCAGGGCCCCCCCCCTAACCCCACAGGGCCCTACCCCAGGCCCAGCCCCGCTCCCTGAGGCCCAGCCCCAGGCCGTGCCCGCAGCCCCCCATCCCCACCCCCCCCCATCCCCTTTATCCGCCCCCCGCTCCCCGCCCGGTACCCTCCGCCAGCTGCGCGGCCCCGTCCTGCTGCCCTCCCGCGGCGCCCCTCACGATGCTTTGCAGCCGCTCCGCTGCCGGCCCCCCGCCGGCGGCCGCCATGACACCCGCACCCACCCCGCCGCTCCCGCCGCGCGCATGCGCAGCCCCCCTTCCCTCAGCCAGCCGCGGCGCATGCGCACAGCCACCCCGCGCCGCTCTTTCCCTCTCCTCCCGCCCTCCTTCCGCCAGGAGCACGGCGGCCCGCGAGGGACACAAAGCAGCGGGAGGGGGCGGCTTCGCGCACGAGGGCGGCGCCGGTGGCGGCGGCGGCGGGGCGGGCACATGCGCACCTGTGGGGGCGGGGCGGTGGCGGCGGAGGGGAGGGGGGCGGCCCCGGTGCTCAGAGCCGGGCGGAGGCGGCTGCAGGGCGCCGGGGCCCCGCGGGTCGGCAGCAGCGCGGAGCCGGCCCGGCCCCATGCCGAGCCGCCCGCCCCGTCGCCGCCGCCGCCGTCGAGCCCCGCCATGGGCGGCTGCGTGGGGCGGCAGCGCCGGGAGCGGCCCCCCGCCGGCAGCACCCGCAAGAGAGCAGGTGAGCGGGGCTGGGCACCGAGCTCCGGGCACCGGGGGGGACCCCGGGACGTGCCCCCGGGGCGGCTCCGCTGCCGGTGTCCCCGCGGCGGGGCCGCCCCGCCGGTACCGGGAGGGGTTTGGCAGCGCCCCGGTGCCGCCCGGTTGCGGGAGCCGGGCCCCGGGCAGGGCTGGGCGGGCGGCAGCGGGCCCCGCAGTGCTCCCGCCCCGTGCGCCCCGTCGGGGCTGGCCGGGAACGGGAGCCCCGGGGTGCACCGGGGGGGGGCTGCCGGTGTCCGCGGCGGGGCACCGGGGGGTCTGCTGGCCCTGCTGCCTTGTGCCGGTGTCCGGGGGATGTGGGATGCTCGGGAGGGCACCGGGAGCTGCACCCGGAGGGTCGACGGGACGGAGCCCGGTGCGCGGCTGTCCCTGCCCAGGAGCGGAGAGCCCCGCGGTGCTCCTCGGGGGGGGACCGGGCACCTCGGGGGGGCTCCGGGCGGTGCTGGGGACCCCAAAGTGACCCCAAAGGGCCCCCACGTCGGGGCACGAGGCGCTGGGAGCAGCCCTGCCGCGGGGGTGCCGGTGCCGTCGGGGTGCGGCTGCCGGCCCGGCCCCGCCTGGCCCCGCGTGGGCGGCCGGACACGTCCCGACCCCCCCGGGCCCCCCGCGGGCACCGGGTTGCACAACGGGCCGGGAACAGCACGGCACGGGGCAGGGCCCGGGCTGGGCGGCAGCAAGAGACCCGCAGCCCCCCGATGGGGACCCGCAGCCCCCCGATGCTGCTGCCCCCCCCTCTGCCCGCTCCTGGGGTCCAGGAGCCCCGCTGCTCACCCCAAAGGAGTCCAGGCTGCGCCGTGGTGCCGGCGGGTGCTGCCCGGTGCCTGGGGCAGGTGCTGTCCCTGACCTTGCCGTGCCACGCTGCAAATCCCAACGGCCCCACAGCGGGACTGCTGAATCGGCACCGCCTGCCCTCAGCTCCTCGGGGATGTGAGCGCAGCCACGGTGCTGCCCGACCCCGCTCGGGGATGCTCAGCGCCCTGCACCAGCCCTCGGGGGCACTGCGCTGTCCTGTGCCCATGGGGACCCTGTGCCACGTGTCCTGGATGGAGAAAATAGTCGTGTAGTGCTTCGTGTCACCCCCACGAGCCTCCCGGGGGTGGTGGCTGTCCCCAGCAGCCACGGGTGGCATCGCCCTGCCCCATGGTGGGCGCTCAGCATCCTTCCTGCGCAGCCGGGATCCCAAACTTCCCCCCTTCCCCCCCGCAGGAGCGGTGCCGGCCGGCGGCCCCGCAGGAAGGAGCTGTTGTCACTCATTGTCCCCAGCTCGGCTGGGAGTGACAACAGCTCCTTCCTGCCCCACGCGTCCGGCCGTGCCGTGGGGCTGGCAGCACGGGGCTGTTCCCACGGGGACACAGCCTGGTGTGGGGCTGCCCCACAGCTCCAGCCCGCCCGGTGCCCCATCCTGGGGGTCCCGTGGGTGGTGACACCCGCGTCCCCCACCACAGCGGGGTGCTGCCAGCCTGGGAAGGGGCTTTTGCCACTGCCTGGGGTGACATCCCGGTGTGCTCGCCCCAGAAGTCACAGCCCCCCCCCTGCGGGGCTGCGGCTCAGCCCCCGTAATCCTGTTCCCACTCCGGCACACCGGCTTATTTGCTGGCTAATTCCCCAAGCTATAAATACTGCCCTGCCTCGAAGGGCCCTGCAGCCACCCTGCTGGCCCCCGGCCCATCCTCCCCTGTCCCCAAAACGTGAGGGGGGAGAGCCCTGCTCCCTGCTGGGGGCGAGGGATGCTGCTGGGGGGCAGCTGCTGTGCCGGGGGCTGGGACAGACACTGCTGTGTGTGGGGTCCCCACCAGCCCATGGGGCAGGGTGCCCTTCCCTGGGCATTAGGGGCTGGATTTTGGGGTTTCAGAGCCCCTCCCTGAGCTGCTGCCACCCCCCCAGGCCGCAATGAGCCCCTGAAGAAGGAGCGCCCCAAGTGGAAGAGCGACTACCCGATGACGGACGGGCAGCTGCGCAGCAAGCGGGACGAGTTTTGGGACACGGCGCCCGCCTTCGAGGGCCGTAAGGAGATCTGGGACGCCCTGAAGGCGGCCGCCTACGCCGTGGAGGCCAACGACCACAGCCTGGCACAGGCCATCCTGGACGGAGCCAGCATCACCCTGCCCCACTGGTGAGGCCACATCGGGGTGCGGAGCCGGGGAGGTTCGGGGAGGTGATGGGGAGGTGATGGGGAGGCTCTGTGGGGCACGGTCACTCACCCCTGCCGTCCCTAGGGTCAGCTGACGGAGTGCTACGACGAGCTGGGCAACCGGTACCAGCTGCCCGTGTACTGCCTGGCACCCCCCGTCAACCTGATCCTGGAGCGGGGCGAGGAGGAGGCGGTGGAGGCGGCCGAGCCCCTGCCCAGCGCCCGGCGCGAGTTCGCCCTCAAGGTGCGGCTCTCCACCGGCAAGGACCTGCGGCTCAGCGCCAGCATGGGCGACACCATCGGGCAGCTGAAGAAGCAGCTGCAGGCGCAGGAGGGCATCGAGCTGGCCTGGCAGCGCTGGTTCTTCTCGGGCAAGCTGCTCACCGACCGCACGCGGCTGCAGGAGACCAAGATCCAGAAGGATTTCGTGGTGCAGGTGATCGTCAACCAGCCCCTGCCGCCCAGGAACTGAGCTCTCCGGCAGGGAGGCCCCGTCCCGCAGTGGAGCACGGGGGCACCTCAGGGATGTCCCAGCCCTGCCGGAGCCACCGGGTCCCCTCCCCGGGGCCGTGGCGCCGCTGGTGGCCCCGCCGGGCTGGAGGCGCGGGCACAAATTTGCTGTGGATGGTGTGGGACCCACGTGTGCCGGGGGGCCCCGCTGTGGGGCTGCCCCTCGGGGAGAGGCTGTGACCCGCCAGCCCCGGCCACGAGGCCGGGATCCCGTTGCTGGGGGGGCGCGGGGCTGTGCGGAGATGTCTCCCCTCTGTACATAGCCTGTGTATTTATCAATAAAGCCTTTTCATCCTTCAGCCAGGCGGGGGCTGGCCCCGTGTGTGGGCTGTCCCCAGGCATCCTCGCGTAACGGGCGCCTTCCTTTGTGCAGCCCGGGGCTGTGGCACCCATGGGACGTGGCACCCAGGGGTGGCCCTGGGACCTGCCTGTGCCCGGGAGGGTGCCCTGTCCCCATCTGTCCCTCCCCCTGTCCTCAGCCCGGTCCCATGGCCAGGTCCTGGCGCATTAACTGTCCCAGCACGGGGCACGCTGGCCTCATCTTACAAAAAGGGAAAGCAAAATCCCGGGGGGCTGAGCAATGTCCCCGGCAGCTGGGAACAGCTGCGGGCTCTGCCTGCCGGCCCCACAGCCCCACGTGCGGGGGGCAGACCAGGTGGTGCTCGGGATGCTCCGGCCCTGAGGTCATCCTCCAAAGCAGCACGGAGCCGCCGCGAGCATCCCGGCTGCCCGGGATGGGTGGCACGGGCTCAGGACCCGCGGGTTAACGCACACCACGACCCAGCTCCATCCAGCCTCCAGAGCACCCCTGAGGGCTCCGCGCACCCCAGGTCCCCCCAGCCTGGCACGGGGATCCCGGGCAGCCGGCTGGGTGGGCCGTGGGTTGCTTTAAGAGCTGGCAGGAGGTGAGCCAGGGGCACCAGAAAGCAGCAGGGTGAGCTCATGGCTAAGCTGCCCCAGTCATGTGGAGCAGGCACAGCTGTCGGTGCCCTTGGGCAGCGGGGACGGAGGGGCCGGCGGCATAAAGCCCCGCCGCCAGCCCAGCCACCGGCAGCACCGGGAGCCAGCGCCCGCGGTGCCGAAGAGGAGGAAGAGGAGGAGGAGAGGCCGTATCCTGCCAGGGGCTGCGCACAGAGCTGCCATGGAGCTGGACGTGGAAAAGGCCAAGGAGCTCATCGACCAGAAGCTGGCGGAGGAGGAGGAGGAGGAGAAGGTGGGTGCCGCGGGCTGCCGGCCACCCCGGGGACCTCAGCGGTGCCCGGGGGTGGATGCCGGGGCTGCCCCAGGCTCCCAGGGCTCTGCAGCCCCCCCCGTGTCCCTACAGAGGATGAAGGGTGATGGCCCGCGGGAGCCACCGGCCGTGGAGAGGATGAGCACCCCGGAGCTGGAGGAGGAGAAGCGGCAGGGACCCCGCAACAGGGGCATCGAGGCCATCAAGGTGAGGGCTGGGAGCAGGGAGCGGGGTGCGGGAGGGCACGGCGGGGGCGAGCGGGGCGCTGCGTGTCCCCACAGGGCCAGGAGCGGGTGCGGAGGAGCTCGGTGGACCTGCGTCAGGAGATCATCGACGTGGGGAGCATCCAGCGCCTCATCGAGCTGCGCAAGCAGCGCCGCAAGCGCCGGGAGGAGCGGGCGGCCACCCCCGAGCCCCCGCCGCCGCCGGAGCCCCTGGAGATCGTACGTGAAGGGGGGTCCCAAAAATCCGGGGTGCCCTGGAGGAGCAGCACACTGGGGCCCCCTCGTTGTCCCCGCTGCCCCAGCCCTGCCCTGCCCTGCCCTCAGGAGGGTCCCTGTAGAGCCGGAGACCTTCCTGCGAGCCGCCGTGCAGGGCAAGATCCGCGTCATCGAGAAGTTCCTGGCGGATGGTGGCTCCCCAGGACACGTGTGATGAGGTAGCGGGGGGTGTCCCGGTGTGCTTCGGGTCACGGGGAGGGGGCACGGCCAGCCACCAACGCGCCACCTCGCCCCCCAGTTCCACCGCACCGCCCTGCACCGCTCCTCGCTGGAGGGCCACACGGACATCCTGCAGAAGCTGCTGGACAGCGGGGCCACCGTCGACTTCAGGGACCGGGTGAGCCTCTGGGCACGGGGCGGAGGTGGCCGTGGGCTCAGCCGGGGCTGGGGGGGGACACAGGGGTGGTGGTGTCCCCCCCGGTGACACCGGCTCTGGGTGCCCAGCTGGACTGCACCGCCGTGCACTGGGCGTGCCGGGGGGGGCACCTGGACGCCGTGAAGCTGCTGCAGGACCGCGGGGCAGACCTCAACCTGAAGGACAAGGTGAGGGGGGCGCAGCCCGGGGAGGGGGCTGTGCTGGGGGCACAGCAGGGAGGGGGGTGCTGAGCCCTTCTGCTGTGTGTTCCCCCCCCCAAACCCCAGCTGCTCAGCACCCCTCTCCACGTGGCCACCCGCACGGGGCACCCCGACATCGTGGAGCACCTCATCCACTGCGGGGTGGACATCAACTCCCCGGACAGGGTGAGTAGGAGGAGCCCTCCACCTCCTGGGGGTTCCCAGCACCGTCCCCGTGCCCCCCCCCCCCAGGGGATGTGGGTGCACGGAGCCAGGCTGCGTGTCCCGCAGGAGGGGGACACGGCGCTGCACGACGCCACGCGCCTCAGCCGCTACAAGATCATCAAGATGCTGATCCTGCACTGGGGCTGACATGATGGCCAGGAACCAGGTGGGCGCCGCGGGGCACGGGGGTGCCTGCGCCCTTCGCTGCCACCCCGGTGCCCACCTGTGCCCGCACTCTCAGGCTGGCAAGACCCCGACGGAGCTGGTGCAGCAGTGGCAGACGGACACGCGCCAGGCGCTGGAGACCAAGGAGCAGCCGCAGGGGGAGGCCGAGGTCCCCGCGTGATGGCAGCGGGCAGGGACCGGGGCTGGGCTCGGCGCCAAGGAGCGGGACCCAGCTGAGTCAGCCGTGTTAATAAAGCCAGCAGCGAGCAGAGTTTGGCCCTGGCAGGCTGCCCCGGGGAGGTGGTGGGGCCGGCAGGGGCTGCGTGGCGTCCTGACACTGGGCATGGGGGTGGTGACACCCGTGGGACGGTCACACGAGTGGCTCGGTGGCAGGACTCGTGGCTGCGGGATGCCCAGGTGCTGTTTGTGGTGCTTCACAGCCCCGCCTGGGCACACTGGGGGAGAAAAACCATCAAGGGCTGCTCAGATATTAGGGGCATCACCAGCCCCACAGTGCATCTCCAAAACACACGGTGCAAGAAAGTGCAGTGGGTGCAGCCGGAGCCCACCCAGAGGGGTGCTGAGCTCTTTCCGCAGGCTCCTCCTGCAGGAGGGGAGAGCTCGCCCGCTCCCAGCCCCGTCTGTCTGCCTGCCCAGTGGGGCCGCAGCCCCCTCACGTGCCCCGTCAAACATTAACCCCCCTCGGAGGGGTGGGTGGCACGGGCTGGCCGCAGCACCCAGCACCATGGCGCTCAGCACCCGCCTCACCTCGCCCCTCCGGCCAGCCCTGGCGGCTCTGTGCCGGGGAACCCCCGGGCAACACCGGGGGCTCAGCACCCCTCCCGGCCCGGAGCCCACCCTTGACTTCGGGGGCATCTTCCCACCCCTCGCCACCCCCTTCTCGGCCCTGCAGGAGGTGGACTATGCCCAGCTGGAGGCCAACCTGCGGCGCTACGCCAGCATCCCCTTCCGAGGTGAGCGCAGCCCCCAGCCCCGGCGCTCTGTGCGCAGCCCCCAGCTGGGCTTTGCGGGGTGGCGGGCAGCCCCTCGGGTACCTGCCTCATGTTTTAGGGCTGGTGGTGCTGGGCTCCACCGGGGAGTACCCGTACCTGGCTCCCCACGAGCGCCTGGAGGTGCTGAGCTGCGTGCGCCGCGCGCTGCCCCGCGACCGCCTGCTACTGGCGGGCTCCGGCTGCGAATGTGAGTGTGGGGAGCACCGGGAGCACGGGGGGGACATCCCCACAGGGCGTCCCTCACCCCTCCGCCACCTCCCCAGCCACCCAGGCCACCGTCGAGCTGACGGTCAGCATGGCAGAGGCTGGGGCTGACGCGGCGCTGGTGGTGACGCCCTGCTACTACCGGGGGGCCATGAGCAGCGCCGCCCTAGTGCGGCACTACACCGAGGTGAGCCGTGCCCACTGCCCACCCGTGGCTCTGCCACATGGCAGTGGGGTTGGGGACAGGTCCCCCCCGTGTCCCCGTCCCACCCGCAGCTCCGCCTGGCTGCCCGCAGGTGGCCGAGGCGTCCCCCATCCCCGTGGTGCTCTACAGCGTCCCTGCCAACACCGGCCTGGAGCTGCCCCTGGAGGCTGTCCTCACCCTGGCGCAGCACCCCAATGTCATCGGCATCAAGGACAGCGGCGGGGACGTGAGTGAGGCAGGGGGTGCCGAGGCTGGCCCCAAACCCGTCCCCGAGCCACCCCCAGGACCCCACGGTGGGGACGGTGGGGACGGGGTGATGCGCACCCCCAGGGACACCTCTCCCTCCCCAGATCACCCGCCTGGGTCTGATCGTGCACAAGACGCGGCAGGAGGATTTCCAGGTGCTGGCGGGATCAGCCGGCTTCCTGCTGGCGAGCTACGCCGTGGGTAGGTGCTGCTGCTCACTTGGGGGCACCGCAGCGAGGCCGAGGGGCAGCGACGCCCAGGAGCTCAGCTGCCAACCTGCCCCCACGTCCCCAGGTGCCTCGGGGGGGGTCTGCGCCCTCGCCAACGTCCTGGGGGCCCCGCTGTGCCAGCTGGAGAGCCTGTGCCGCCAGGGCTGCTGGCAGGAGGCCCGCGAGCTGCAGCACCGGCTCATCGAGCCCAACGCGGCGGTGAGCGGGCAGGTACCCCCCGGCACGGCTGCGGGGTGGGGGTGAGGGGGTCCTACAGGGCTGGGGGGGTGAGGATGGGGGTCCCTGGGGGTGCGGGGCAGCCTGGGTGGGCAGCGCAGCGCCCGGCTGGGGAGCCAAGCCCAGGCTGGAGGCGGCAGGGTGGGAAATGCCAGCCCTCGCGTGCCAGGAACAGCGCGTGCCCTGGCACCGGGCACCCGCCCAGCCCCGGCGTGAGACCTGCAGGGTATTTATAGGCGGTGACGGAGGGACTCGCCGCGCCTTCCCAGGGGCATCGACCCACCGTGGGATGGCTCCTGCTGTGCTGCAGGGATGCTACGTGAGTGGGGCCCCGTGCCCTCCAGGGTGCATTGCTGCGCCCCCCTCCCCGCAGGTCACCCGCCGGTTCGGGATCCCGGGGCTGAAGCAGGCCATGGAGTGGTTCGGGTACTACGGGGGGCCCTGCCGAGCGCCCCTGGCCCCACTGAGCCCAGCCCAGGTGGAGGAGCTGAGGGGCGCCTTCAGCAGCACCGGCTGGTTGTGAGTGCCCAGCACCCTGGCCCCGCAGCGCCACCTCCCCCTGCCCCATCCTGAACCAGGGACCACCGGGAGCTGGGGACGTGGCGGGGACACCGGGATCGTGGCCAGGAGAGCCATCTCACTCCTTCCTGCTGGACAGGGCTGGTGGGGAGAAAGCTCAGCACCCTGTGGCCACCCTCGTGTCCCCTGGGTGTGCCCCCAGCCCCGCCAGCCCCCGGAAAAACCCCCCTGGGCTCCAGCTGCAGGGAGCAGGGCCTGCAGCCCCCAGCTCCTTGCTGTCCCCATGTGGGCTGGGTGGCCCCGAGGTGTGGAAGCCCACGCTGGCCCTGCCGCCCTCCAAAGCACCACGAATAAACCACTGCCTCCCCTCTGTGTCTGCATTTGTGCCCGTGCAAGCAGCCTCCCTCCTGCCCCCAGCAAGCAGCACACAGCCTGGGCGTTTGGCAACGTGGTTTACTCTGCTGAGGCCCGTGCAGGCGGCGGCACAAGGCAGGGGCGCAGCAAGGCACAGGGCTGGTGGGGGCACAGAGTGGCAGGGGGGGCTCGGCCGGGCAGGGAGGGATGCCAGGACCCCATGCCCCGCGAGCCTGAGCGTGCCAAGGGTGAAGGCAGGCACCCGTGGGGACAGGTGAGGAGCTGTGCACACCCTGCCTGCACCCCTGCCATGCCCCTATCCCTGCCCACCCTGCCCAGAGCCCCCCCTGCAGCCCTGCCCTAGCCCCTTGCCCAGCTTCTCGCTTGCCCTCGCCGCCGTCCTCACCCAGCTCCCCTTTGGCGGGGATGTCCCCCAGGCACTGGGCAGGCTGAGCCCCTCGGGGGCACCGTGTCACCCAGCGCCGAGGGCACAGGCCCCGGGGTGCCACCCTGCCTGGGGACCAGGGCTGGAAAAGCAGGCCAGGCGCTGGCACGTGCTGCAGCCCGCTGCCCGCCCCATAGGCACCCTAGGCAATGGGGCCAGGAGCCAGCCCCGGCCCCTAGCCACCCGCCCTGCTCCCCGTGGCACGGTGGCAGCCCCGACCATGCCACCCCCAGCCCTGCTCTGGTGGAGCCGGGGGCAGAGTGGGGCCTGTGGGGAGAAGCAGGGCAGTGGGCAGAGGGAGAAGGCACCACGGCGGCCTCAGAGCCGCCCTGGGGCACTTGGGTGGGGGGCAGCGGGGTCCGTGCTCCCACCAGCAGGGTTTTGGCACGGGGGCCTGCCCGGCGTGGCAGGGGGACCCCTGGCCCTGCCGGGGGGGTGGCTGGCAGCGCCGTGGTCCTGCCGCCCCACGGGGCCAGGGCACCGTCACGCCGTGAGGTTGTGGGCAGACTTGGAGGCGCTCTGCGCCCTCTGGATCACCGCCTGGCACTTCTCCCGCCGCAGCAGCTTGTTGTTCTCGAAGAAGCCCTCGTTGCGGGGCACCCCGTGAGAGCCGTCAGGGAACGTCAGCAGCCCTGGGGAGGGAAGGGACGGGAGTCACGGGGTCGGGAGCAGCGCACATGGGGGCTGAGCCTGGGCAGACAGGGTGGGACACAGCGGGAGGGCAGCACAGCAGGGCAGGGGCGAGCGGGATGTGCTGAGCCGGGGTGGGCACGAGGCCCTGGCTGCACATCCCACAGCAGCAGGACCCCCCCGGGGTGCCGGGCACTCACCGAAGCCATCCACGCGCCCGCCTTTGAACTCGCCCTCGAAGGTCATGTTGTCGTAGCGGGTGAAGACGCCGACACCGCAGAACTTGCCCTGCACGAACTCCCCCTCGTACCTGCACGGGGGGCACGGGGATGGGTGTCGGGGGGCGCACACAGCTGGGGCACGGCAGGGTGCGCCCCGCAGGGTGCTGAGCTCACCTGGAGCCGTCGGCGAAGCTGAGCACGCCGCAGCCGTGGAACAGCCCGTTCTCAAAGTGCCCCACGTAGGCGCTGCCGTCGGCAAACGTCAGCTGGCCCGTGCCGTGCCGGCGTCCTGGGCAGTGACAGAAACAGGGACAGGCGGTGAGAGGTGGAGCAGAGCCGGGACCGGCCTGGCACGGTGGGGAGCAGCCACCCCCGCACCTGCGGGCTCAGCACCAGCCGCCCCGTCTCATCCTGTCCCATCCCGTCCAGCCCCGTCTCATCCTGTCCCATCCTGCCCTGACCTGTCCATCCCGTCCTGTCCTGTCCCATTCCACCCATCCTGTTCAGCCTTATCCCATCCATCCTGTCCTGTCCATCCCATCCTGTCCAACCCCATCCCATCCTGTCCTGTCCCACCCATCCCATCCAATCCCATCCCATCCAGCCCTGTCCAGCTCTGTTCCACCTGTCCCATCCCATCCCGTCCCGTCCCATCCATCCCGTCCCATCCTGTACCCTCCATCCAACCCTGTCCTGTCCCGTCCTGTCCAGCCCCATCCCATCCCCTCCAGTCCCATCACATCCAGCCCCATCCCACCCCATCCTACCTCATCCCATCCTGTCCCACCTGTCCCATCCAGCCCTGTCCCATCCCATCCCATCCTGTCTCATCCCACCTGTCCCGTCCAGCCTTGTCCCACCCCATCCCATCCCCTCTGGTCCCGTCCTGTCCCGTCCTCCCTGTCCATCCCATCCCATCCTGTCCCGTTCACCCTGTCCCACCCATCCCATCCCATCCCGTCCCATCCCATCCAGCCCTGTCCAGCTCTGTTCCGCCTGTCCCGTCCACCCCATCCTGTCCATCCCATCCCATCCCATCCCATCCCATCCCATCCCATCCCATCCCGTACCCTCCGTCCAACCCTGTCCTGTCCCGTCCCATCCAGCCCCATCCCATCCCCTCCGGTCCCATCACACCCAGCCCCATGCCATCCCCTCCAGTCCCATCATGTCCAGCCTCATCCCACCCCATCCCACCTCATCCCATCCCATCCCGTCCCACCTATCCTATCCAGCCCTGTCCCATCCCATCCCGTCCATCCTGTCCCCTCCATCCCATCCCACCCCATCCCATCCCGTACCCCCCGTCCAACCCTGTCCCGTCCCACCCGTCCCGTCCAGCCCCGTACTATCCCATCCCATCCTATCCAGCCCCGTCCCGTCCCCCCCGTCCATCCCGTCCCACCCCGCCCCACCCCGCCCCGCCCCGCCCCGCCCCGCCCTCCCGCCCGCACCTTCCTTCCACTCCCCGCGGTACTCCTCCCCGCTGGAGTACGTGAAGGACCCCTTGGTGAGCGTCATGGCCGCCTCCTCCTCCTCCCGCTCCGCTCCGCGCCCCCCCGGGGTCCCGCCGAGGGGCGGCGGCGGGCCCACCCCCTCCCTTCCCCACCTCCCCACCGCCCCGTCGGGCGGCGCCCCGCCGCCCCGCGTCCATCCTCGCTCCCCATTGGCCGTCCCCATGGCAACGCCTAGCAACGCGGCCTCTCATTGGCCTCCCCGTGCACCGCTGGGGGCCGGCCGCCGCCATCTTGGTGCGGGGCGGGGCGGTGACGCCATGGCGCCGTGACGGGCCGGAAGCGCTGCGGCGGGGCCGTACCGGGCCGGGCCGTACCGGGATGGACGAGACCAGCCCGCTCGTGTCCCCGCAGCGGGCGCAGGGCCCCGACTACGGCCTCCCGGGAGGGGCCGTGCGCGCCCCGCCGCCCTCTGTGGTCGCCCCTCCGCCGCCGCCGCCCTCCCCGCCCGCTTCACCGGGAGGCCGCGACCGCGAGCGGCAGCCGCTGCTGGAGCGCGGAGCCCGCGGCCCGGCGGCGGCGGCGGCGGCCCAGGCGCAGGCCCAGGCGCAGGCCCAGGCGGCGCAGGCCCAGGCCCAGGCCCAGGCGGCGCTGGCGGCGCAGCGGGAGCGGAACGAGTTCCCCGAGGACCCCGAGTTCGCCGAGGTGGTGCGGCGGGCAGAGCTGGCCAGCGAGCGCGGCATCTTCCCGCAGCGCATCTCGCAGGGCTCCAGCGGCAGCTACTTCGTCAAGGACCCGCAGGGGGTGAGCGGGGAGCGGGGGGGAACCGGGGGGAGCCGGGGGGAGCCGGCCGGGCCCGCGGGCACGGGATCGGCACGGGGCTGAGCGTCTTGTGACCGCCCGGCTCCTCCCCGCTGCTGCTCCCCGGGATCTGCCCCTCGCAGCCCCGTGTGTCGGCCCCAGCGGGAGGCCGGGCTGCGAGGCTGGAGCTCGGGGGGCTGCTGGGGGATGCGTGTGAGGAGCCGCAGTCCTGTGCTGTGTGGGTCTCAGAGCGAGCCGCTGCCAGCGCTGCTCCCCAGGTGCCGTGCTCTCAGGCTCTGCTCCCTGCTCCAGGACTGGCATCGCTCCGCTGTACCCCTCTGCACGGCGCCGTGCTCCGCGCTGCCAGAGCTCCCGGCAGGCTCAAACCCAAGGACACGTTGGCAGACTCTGTGGGGCTGATAAGGGGACTGCCTGTCTGTCCCCTCGGGCTCTGCCAGCGCAGAAGGGGTTCTCTGTGTGACCGTGGGACAGCTGACCTGCTCCCTTCCCTCAGGCCTCCCTCCCAGGACACACAGTCTAGCTCCCACCTCCCCTGGGCTGGCCTCTGGCCCCGGCTCAGTGGGATTGCCCCACCGGGGTGTTGGGACACACGTGTCACGCTTCCATGCCGTGGCAGGAGCTGGGCTAGGGGAAGTGCCACCCACTGTGTCCGGGGCTGGCCGCCCTTGGGGTGGAGAGCTGCTCCTGTGCTGCTGAGTCATCCCGAGGGGGCTGTGAGCCCGGGCTGCTGTGCAGACCCCTGGGGTGCCCGGCCCAGGGGCAGGCGGCCTCGCTTCTGCCCTGAGCCCTCGTCTCAGCTGTGTGGCTTGGCAAAGCTGGCTTGGTGACAGCACGGTGCCTAGCACGGGGCCTCCGAGCCCCTCACAGCAGTGGGGGTACCTGTTTGGGACCTCCTGTGACCTCTTACATACAGAGCAAGCCCCTCTGTTGGGTCCCACATCACAAAACTTTGTTTTCCGCTAAGGTTCTCCAGCTGGCTTTCTATTTTAGCCCCGTTTTCTCCAGTCAGTTTGGGATCGGCTCCATTCAATGGGTTTTGGAGCCAGGGAGCCCTGTCCCACTCCGCTCCCCTGCATGGAGGCAGCGAGAAGCAGTTCCCCCCTGGCCCCATCCCAGTGACCTTTGGATGGAGGAATGTTTACCAGGGGACAGCATCATCAGCACTCTCCTGTGGGACAAGGAGCGGGGTGAGAGGGTTGCAAGGCCTTTGGGCACTGCTCACAGCACCCTGGGGTGTTTTGTCCCCAGTTGCTCTCAGGGGTGGTGTCTTTTAGTGGGGGGCTGCAGCAGTCCCCAGGCTCTCTCCCACCTCGGGAGGAATCTCCTGGACGTGGGGGTGGTGACGGGAAGGGCACAGCAGGGCCGGGCACTGCGGGAGCGTGGGCTTGGCTGAGCTGTGCTGTTAGGGCACAGCCTGGCCCTGCCAAACGCTGGCTCAGGGTGAGTGCCCTGGCCCTGCCAAGCCCTGAGCGTCAGCTCTTTTCTGCTCACAGAAAATCATTGGCGTCTTCAAGCCCAAGAACGAGGAGCCGTATGGGCAGCTGAACCCCAAGTGGACCAAGTGGCTGCAGAAGCTGTGCTGCCCGTGCTGCTTCGGGAGAGACTGCCTCGTCCTGAACCAGGGCTACCTGTCGGAGGCGGGCGCCAGCCTGGTGGACCAGAAGCTGGAACTCAACATCGTTCCTCGCACGAAGGTGAGGGGATGGCTGCTGGCACCTCGTCCTGGGGAGGCTTTCACCTGGCTGCCCAGCTCTGCTTGTGCCCTGTCGCGTGGCCCTGCTGAGCTCTGGACCAGGACTGCTCCTGCTCAAGCCTCGGGGAGCCTCGAGCAGGGCAGAGCCTGCAAAACGCTGCGTCCTGTTTGTCAACGAGCCTGTGACAACTGCCAGCTGTCCCTGCTGACCCCTGTGCTCCTGTCCCCCCAGGTGGTGTATCTGGCCAGCGAGACCTTTAACTACAGTGCCATCGACAGGGTGAAGTCCCGAGGAAAGAGGCTGGCCCTGGAGAAGGTGCCCAAAGTGGGGCAGCGCTTCAACCGCATCGGGCTGCCGCCCAAGGTAGGGCTCCCGGGTCCTGCACGCGCCTGTGGCTGCCTCCCCCAGCCTCCACACCCCTCCGTAACGCGGCCTCTCCTCGCCTCAGGTGGGCTCCTTCCAGCTCTTTGTGGAAGGCTACAAGGACGCCGACTACTGGCTGCGACGCTTTGAGGCCGAGCCGCTCCCCGAGAACACCAACCGGCAGCTGCTGCTGCAGTTCGAGCGGCTGGTGGTGCTGGACTACATCATCAGGAACACGGGTAGGGCCAGCTGCCTGCTCCTGCGTGCACAAGCCCAGGCAGGGGCTCGGCATCTCCTCCTGGTGCCCAGAGCTCCTGGCAGCACTGCCTGCCTGCTGCCGGATGGCTTTGCCTCTGGATGGAGTGCGGCTTCTGTGGCTACTCGCCACCGTGGCCATCCTGTTCCAGGATGTCTGGAGCCAGCTGGGACCTGCCCAGGTGCTGGGGTGAATGTTTGCCAGCTGCAAGGATCTGGGGACACCCAGCACCCGGCAGTGCCGCTGTATCCTACCTGCATCCAAGCCCGTTCCAGGCTGGAATGGGTTTGAGGCGCACTCCAGGGCTCACAGGCTGACCTCTCCCTCTCTTTCCCTTGAGAGCTGGGGCTCTGTGCCTCTCTGTAGTATCCAGGGCAGGTTGTGTGGGGGTTGATGTGGCTTCCCAGGCCTGCTGCAAGCTCAAGGACTCTGGGGCAGAGGTTGGGCCTTGAAGTCTGCATAAACCTGCCTCGCCTCGGGGTGAGAGGAGGAGTTATCTGGCAGGGGCAGGCCCCCACAGCTGTTCTTCTCTCCCTGCAGACCGGGGCAACGACAACTGGCTCATCAAGTACGACTGTCCCCTGGACAGCGCGGGCGTGCGGGTGAGCAGCTCCTCCTGGGCAGGGGTCTGTGGGGCTGCCTGCTCCCTCAGCTGGCAGATGGGGAGGGGATTTCCCTGCTGGTTTGGGATTCCAGGCGTGCTGAGGCCTGATCACAGGGAGTGGGAGATGGGCCACTCCTGCTGGGCGGCCTGCCCTGTAACTGGTGCTCTGCTGCTTTCCAGGACAGCGACTGGGTGGTGGTGAAGGAGCCCATCATCAAGCTGGCTGCTATAGACAATGGCTTGGCCTTTCCTCTGAAGCACCCGGACTCCTGGAGAGCATGTGAGTCCCTCAGGCTGTGCTGGGGCACCCTGCCCAGCTGTACAGCAACCGCTGTCTGTCCTGGGGGCATCTTCCTCAGGGGCTGGAAGAGGCAGTGTCTGGGCTGCCCCTCTGCAACCCTTCCAGGGTCACAGACCCCCCTGCCTCGGGGGGGCTGTAGGAAGTGGGCGCTGGACCTTGTGTCCCAGGTGGTTCTGGGTTCTGTACCCGAGGTCACCTTGCACCTTCCCTGACCCTGATGTCTTGTGCTTCCTCCCACAGATCCCTTCTACTGGGCATGGTTGCCCCAGGCCAAAATCCCTTTTTCGCAGGAGATCAAGGACCTGATTCTCCCCAAGATCTCAGATCCCAACTTTGTCAAAGACCTGGAGGAAGATCTGTATGAGCTCTTCAAGGTGAACTGGGGAGGGGCTGGGGGTGGCTTGGGAGGAAGAAAAGCAGGGGTGGTGCTGGGGGTTCCCTGTCAAGGTGGTGGTGGACAGAAAGGTGTTTGAGCTCCTCACACCATTTCTGGGCCAAAGCATAGCAGGGTCATCCCAGTGCCAGGAGCTGAAGATAAAGTTTTGGGGAGAAGCAGGAAACCTATGGGACAAGAGGGGAGAAGCTTGCTTGGGAAATAGTTATCTCTTGGGTAGCGTGGGACAGCGGGTGGATACTACCGTGTTCTTGGCTCTCTCTCTTGCAGAAGGACCCTGGCTTTGACAGGGGGCAGTTTCACAAGCAGATTGCTGTCATGAGAGGCCAGGTAAGGCAAATCGGTGAGGCTCCAGAGCCTCACCCTGTCTGTCTGTCTATCTGGGGGTGCTGGAGCACCAGCTCTGTTCCCTGGTGGGGCAGCTCAGGCTTCGCTCCGTTGTGCTGTGCAGATCCTGAACCTGACTCAGGCGCTGAAGGACGGGAAGAGCCCCCTGCACCTGGTGCAGATGCCACCCGTGATCGTGGAAACGGCGCGTTCCCACCAGCGCGCCTCCAGCGAGTCCTACACGCAGAGCTTCCAGAGCAGGAAGCCTTTCTTCTCGTGGTGGTAGCCGTGGGAGCCGCGGGCAGGGCTCAGCTGCCTCGGACTGGCACTGCGAGAGGAGCTGGGCCGCTCCTGTGGCTGGGATTTGATGTTCTGGGTCGAGCGAGCAGCTGTGGCTGGAGGAACCCGCAGCTGGAGCGGAGGAGCCGGGCGGGTTGGGCACGGTCCCGCTCCGGCTCCCTTGGAGCTGCGTGGTGTGCGTACAGCCCTGCCTGGGGAGGAGCTCAGGGGGAGGTGCGGGAGGTGGCTGCGAGCTGCAGCGTGCCTGGGATCCTGCCCGTGCCTCCTTTCCCTGGCCTGCATGTGGTTCTCAGCACGCCTGCTCAGGCCGGGATCCGTCCAGCCCTTTGCACCAGCTGCCGGCCTTCCTCTTCCCCGCTGTGCCTGCTGCTGGCTCCGGGGCTGGGAAGGCCTGGAGTGGGTTGTACTGCCCTCCCCTTTCTCAAAAGCGTGCTCTTCTCCTCCTCACTTTCTCTCTTCTGCCCCAACCCCGTGCAAGCTGCTTTCCTCAGGGGGAGTTCCCGCTGCCTGTCGGTGCGGCGGGGACCATCATGAACGGCTGTTCTCTGGCTGGGGGCTCGAGGAGGGGATGTAAGGAGGATCCTGCTCTTGCCTGCTCCCCGGGGCAGGCTTGGGTACGGTCTGACACTAAGTGGAAAGAGGTGCTGGCTCGTCCTGCTGAAGAGCAGGCGGCTCTGGGAGGTGCTGGAGCCTAGCCCAACCCAAGTGTAGGGGTGCAGCAGCCTCGCCCTCACCCCAATTCATCCATCCCACCAGGTCCCCACAGCTGTTGTTGCTTGGCTTTTGCCCCTGCTCCCAGCACAACTCCCTGGCTGCTGTGCAGCCAGTTTCGGGCCAGCCAGCATGGCTCCAGCCTTGCTGTATCTAGGGATGGGGGGGCTGCTGGGGACAGGGGACAGCTAGAGGGGCTCTTCCTGTTACTGGGGTGGGAGCCACGCAGGAATGAGGGTATTGGGAGCACATGAGGACCAGTGCGGGCTCCTGGCTGCCCCCGTGCTGACAATCTGGTGGGCCTGATGTGGGTGGGCGAGGCAGCGAGCATCCCCTCTCCCCAGAAGCTGCTGAGCTGTGTTGTATAAAACGGTACCGGGGCTGCTGCCTGCGTCTGCTTGCCTTGAGCTGTGGCTTTCCCTGTCGCTGAGGAGAGCTGGGGGTGGGTCTCGCTGCCCTGTTTGCCCATCCTCGGGGGGGGTGGGAGGGAAACGAAGGCTGGCTGGGGCTCTGCTGGGGGGGCTGGGAGGGGAAGGCAGCTCACCTGTCTCCTGGGAGCGGAGGGGGCTCGGCCCCGGCTGTGCTGAGGATGCTGCGAGCACGGGGGAGCGGAAGCGAGACCCCAGCTCCCCAGCCAGGCCTGGCTGCGTCTCCGACCGCCCCAACCTGTATTGTTCTAATGCACTGTAGAAATGTATGTAATGTATTTAAACCATGCAACCGGCTGAATAACAGAGCTGCCGTTCGCCTGGCCTCCTCCTTGTCTCAGCGGCTGGGGGACGTCCCGTGGAGCCGGGTCCAGCGCAGCCGCCGGGATCCAGGATCCAGGTCGCAGCCGCCTCCACCCCCTTTTATTGCCCTCGTGTCCCGTGCACTCAGCGTCGGGGGCGAGCCTGGCCAGCGCCGCCGTCCCGCAGCCCCCCGGGGCCGGTTCCCGTGCCGCCCGGCCGCTCAGCGCTGCTGCGGGGATCCCGGGGCCGCCTCAGCCCCGCCGCCGCCGGGCTCCGGCTCCTTCTCGGTGATCCTGCGGGGAAGCGGCGGGTGAGGGCGGCGCGGCCCGGCCAAGGTCCCCCCGCCGTCCCGGCCCATCCCGCACCTACCGCAGGCGGCCGAAGCGCCGCAGCGCCGCCGTCCCGAGCCCGTGCTCGGCCGCTCTCCGCCGCCGCCGGAGCCGCCGCAGGGCCCGCGCCATCCGCCGCTGGCCGCCGTACCGCCAGACCAGGCGGGCGCGCTCCTCGGGCCGCTCGGCGCCGCCGCTCCGGAACAGGCTCCGCAGTTCGGGCAGCCCCACGCCCTGGAAGATGTTGCCCGAGGCCCGCTTGCGGCCGCGGGCTGCGGGCGCCGCCGGGCCCGGGGGGTCGCTCACCACCGAGGCCGGCGTGCCCATGGCCCCGGCCGCTGCGGGCACCGGAGAGAGGCGGCGTGAGGCGAGGGCAGGCCCCGGCCCGCCACCGGCAGGCGGCGCGGACCGCGGCCCGCCCAGCACCACCTGGCACCGGACCCCCCCCGTTACCGTGCGGGGCCGCGGAGGGCCCGGCTCGGAGCGGTGCCCGCCGCCCCGCCCCGTCCCGTCCCGCCCCGCCGTGCCCCACTTTCCCCCCGCCGCCCCGTGCCCGCCGGCCCCGCGCCCAGACCTGGCGGCGGCCGCCCCTGCCCCGTGCCCCCGCCCCGCAGCCGCCGCCGCTCCCGGTCCCGGTCCCGCTGCGCTCCGCTCCCCGCCGCGGGGTCCGCGCCGCGCGCCCCTTCCATTCACCCGCCGGGCCCCGCCCCGCGCCGCCCCACTCCGCCAATCCGCGGCCGCCGCTCGCCGCTCTGACCAATCGGCGCCCAGGGGGGGCGTGGCCGCACCGCCTCCCGGAGGGGAGGGCTACGTGGCGCCCGTGACGTCACGAGGCGAGGGAGGCGGGGAGCCCCGGGGGGCGCGGCCACGCCCCTGGGCGGTGCCCGCCCGCGTCACTCCGAGGGGGAATCCCGCGTGACGTCACCGGGGGGACCCCGGCGCGAGGGGTCCCGCCAGCGCCCCGCGGCCCCGCGCCCCGAGCGCAGCCCCGCGGCGGGACCGGGGGGACGGGACGGGACGGGACGGGGCTGGAGGGGATGGGACGGGGCCGGACGGAGGGGACGGGACGGGAGGGACAGGACGGGACGGGATGGGGCTGGAGGGGATGGGACGGGGCCGGACGGAGGGGACGGGACGGGAGGGACAGGACGGGACGGGATGGGGCTGGAGGGGATGGGACGGGACCGGAGGGGACAGGAGGGAGGGGGCGTGATGAGACGGGATGGGACGGGAGGGAGGGGACCGGAGGGGACGGGACGGGACGGGGCTGGAGGGGCGGGGAGGGGATAGGACGGGCCCGGAGGGAGGAAGCGTGACAGGGCACGGAGGGGACGGGCCCGGGGGGAGGGAACGGGCCGTGCCCGGAGGGGAGGGGACGGGAGGGGCCGGGAGGGGCTCGGCCGAACCCCGCCCGGCGGCGGCGGGCAGCGGCAGGCCCCCGGGCGTCCGGTGGGCCGTCGGGAGGCGGGGCGGGGGAGGAGGAGAGAGGCCCCGCGCGGGGGGACCGCTACGCGCCAGATGTTTGGCAGCGGCCGGCGGCCCGAATCGCTGCCGGGGCGCTGAGTCCCGCCCGAGCCGCTCCGCAGCGAGGCAGGGCCCCGCCATGGCCCGCACCGCTCCCCCCGCCGCCCCGCCGCCCCCGGGGCCGCCGGCCCGCGGCTCGCTCAGCCTGCACCGCGCCTACCTGCGGAGCCCCCTGGGGCTGCTGCGCCTGGGGCAGCTGGTGATGGGCGCCGCTTTCTGGGTCACCGTGGCGGCCCACAAGTACGAGGGGGCGGCCCACTTCGCCCTCTTCGCCGCCGTCCTCGTCTGGCTCCTCACCCTGGCCCTCTTCGGCCTCAGCCTGCTGGGGCGCTGGGCGCTGGTGCCCTGGCTGGGCTCCCGCTGGCTGCTCACCAACCTGCTGCACGACCTGGCGCTGGCCGTGGGGCTCTACGCGGCCGCCACCGGCATCATGGGCTACAAGGCCGGGCGCAAGAGCTACTGCAACCTGCCGGGCTACAGCCAGCAGTGCCTGTACGGCGCCTACCTGAGCGCCTCCATCTGCGGGGCCATCACCGCCTGCCTGTACCTCTTCTCCGGGCTCTACTGCCTGTCACGGCGCTGCCGGGACCAACGCGACATCATCTGAGACCCCGCGGCGCTCGGCTCCCCTCCTCCCCGCGCGTGGACGGACCGCAGCCCCCCTTCAGGACACCGTGACCCCGCCGCCTGGCCCCTCCTGGCTGCCTGCACTGCGCTTCCTCCGGAGACTCCCGCACGGATGGGTGGACAGACAGACAGACAGACAGAGGCCTCCCCCGAGCACGGCTTCCCCCGCGTCCCGCCGGGACAGCGTGGACACCCGCCTGCTGCTCGGGCCCCTTTCGCACCCCTGGACAGAAGGATGATGGACGGACGTAGGCGAGTCGAAGGACCCGAACGGGATGCCCTCGAGCGGGACCCTGATTTCTGGGAGCCCCGCGGGGCCCTGCCCAACTCCCCTGCCCCAGGCCCCGCAGACGCCCCGTGCTCAGGTGGGTGCCAACGCTGCCCCCAGGGGGAGAGGGAGCCCGGCCTGGAGGAGCCGAGCGAGGGGCAGGGGTGGGCACAGCCCCCCCCAGCAGCCCCTCGTGCCGTGCCCAGCACTTGTGTTGTTGTTCTCTAATGGAGGCTGAGATTTCGGCTTCCCCAGCCCGGGCCCCTCCTCCTGCCCAGCCTGAACACGTCTGCTTTCTTCCTGCAACTGCGCGGGGCGCAGCCCCTCCCCGCCCCGCAGACACCCGCGGCCCGCTCCGGATGCTTGGCACAGCTCCCCCCGGCCGTGCCCCCGCCCTGCCCCGCTCAGCGGCCGGGCACCGAAGCCTCCGGCGCCGCCAAAGCCTCCAGCGGCTGCCGCCCCCCGGGCAGGGCAGGGCAGGGCGGGTCGGGGCGGGGGGCTGAATGCCTCTGCCCTCGGGGCTGGAGCCGGCTGCCCCCGGGGACAACGGGGCTTTTGTGCGCAGCTCCCCGGCTCCGGCTCTGCCCTGCGGGGAGCGGCGACCCCGACCCACCGGGATCCACCGGGACCCACCGGGACCCACCGGGACCCACCGGGAGGACACCGGCGGCGGGGCCAGGAGCGGCCCCGACGGAGCCGGGGGGCGTCGGGGGAGCACGGCCACGACCCCGCCTGCTGGGGACGCGCCCCCTGCGCCGCGGGGCCGTGCCCGCCGCCTCCTCCGCTGCCGGGGGGGGCCCCGCAGCCCCGTGCCCGGGCCGGTCCCCGCACGGTGCCCCCCGCGCCCGGTCCCCGCGTCCCCCCCCGTGTCCCCCCCGCAGCCCCCGGGCTCGGCTCCCCAATAAAGGCTTTGTCGGCGCTGCCTGCGTGTCTGGGCATTCACTGGGGGCGGGGGGGCGGCACCGGGAGGGGGGGGGGGCAGCGGGGAGCGGGGCACCGGGAGCGGGGCGGTGGCCGCGCGACGCCACTTCCGCCCTTCCTTTTGCCCTCACGGGGGCGGGGACTCCGCGCTTAGTCCCCGCCCCCTCCTCCCGTCCTCGCTCTCCCATTGGCGCCGCGCGCGTGACGTCACGCCGTCAGCAGGGCGCGCCCCGGGCAGGCTCCCGCCATGCAGGAGGCGGCGGCGGCGGCGGCGGCAACGGGGGGTGGCGGCGGCGGCGGGGGCGAGGCGGTGCCGGGCGGGACCGAGCCCCCTGCCCCGGAGCCGCCCCCCGGCAAAGCGGCCGCCTTCGACCTGCTGGGGCTGGTGCGCAGCTACCGGCGGCTGGAGCTGTACCTGGAGCCGCTGCGGGACGCCGCCCAGGCCGTGCGCTGCCTGCTCCGGTAGGTGCGGGGCGGGCCGGGGGCTGCCGGTGCCTGCCGGTGCTGCCCGCCCCTCCCTGCGCCTTGTCATCCCCCCCTGCAGGTGGCAGCGGCCGCTGTGCTCATTGCTGGCCTGCCTCGGCATCAACCTCCTGCTGCTCACCTTGGACCGAGGTGGGTGGGGGGGGGTCCCCGGTGCTCCCCGTGCTGGTCCCGGTATAACGGGGTGTAACGGGGCGTAACGGGGTGTCCTACAGCCGCCTGGTACTCGGTGCTGGCCGTGCTGGTGCTGCTGCCCGCCGTGCTGGGCTACCTGCAGGAGACGTGCCGTGCCCGGCCGGCGCAGCGGGAGCTGGCCCGCAGCAGGAGGCACAGCGTGCGCAGGGAGGAGCTGCGCAGCGTGCGCCTGTCCCGCCAGGAGGCCCTCGCCCAGGTCAAGGGCTTGTGAGTGTCCCCACCGTGTCCCCTGCCACCGGGCATCGCCCCCCCCAGGGGGGTTATAGGGGTGCTCGGTGGCCTGGCCGCACGCTGTCCCGGTGTCTGGGGGGGGTCCTGTGAGCCGGGGGTCTCGTTGCAGCCTGATCCAGCTGGAGGGCTTCCTGAGCGCGCTGTGCTGCAGCTGCGAGGCGGCGCACCGGGTGCTGTACTGGGAGAACCCCGCTGTGTCTTCCCAGTGAGTGGGGCCGCGGTGGGCATCCCCGCGTGGAGATCGGGGAGGGGTCTGGGGGGCTGTGAGTGATGTGCTTGGGGGGAGGAAGGGGGGTTTGTGCTGCGGGGGCACTGATCTGCCTCGTCCCAGGTTCTACGGGGCGCTGCTGGGCTCTGTCTGCATGCTCTACCTGCTGCCGCTCTGCTGGGTCATGGCCATCCTCAACAGCACCCTGTTCCTGGGCAACCCCCAGTTCTACCAAGGTGAGAGCCCTCCCTGGAGGCGGTCTGTGTGGGGGGGGCTGGGGGAAGGCCCCCTGAGGCTGGGCACCCTGCCCTCCTCCTGTCCCAGTGCCCCTGTGTGGGGCTCTGCATGGGACCTGTCCCCAGCCCAGCGGCTCCCGATGGGTGTGTGAGCACGGGGGGGGCTCAGGGCACGGCAGGGAAGGCTCCTGTGTGCTCACAGCCCCCCTGCGAGGCTCTGCCAGCTGCTGGGCGGGGGGCTGGGGCTGGGGAATGCCCCTGGCTCCAGCCCTGGTCCCCTCCCACCAGTGATGAAGGAGCTCAAGGCCTCCATCGAGCAGTGTCTGGGCACCAAACCCCTCCAGAGTGCCCCGGAGCCTGCCGAGCCCCTGCCTGCTGCTGCCCCCCCGGACCGGACCCCCACGCCCACCAGCACAGAGGTGAGGGGCGGCAGGGCTGGGGCGAGTGGGGTGGGGGCTGTGGGGCCACCAGGGCTGGCTGTGCCTCCGTCCCTCTGCCCATGGGCAGCTTTGGTGTGCCTGGCCTCAGAGCACATCCCGAGCTACCAGGGGGCTGCCCTGCGCTGCTGAGGTCTTGGCTCAATCCCACTGCGTGTTTAGAGCCTCACCCCAGCTGGGGACTCGCCCTATGAGGCTGCTGGGGGGCTCTTGGAGGCAGGGGGTCCTGCTGTGGGCAGGGATGGGGTGGGCAGGACTCTGAATCTCTTGCAGGACCTTACCCCTGGCAGCGTGGAGGAGGCAGAGGAGGCAGAGCCCTGATGAAGAGTTCAAGGACGCTATCGAGGTTTGGGCCTGGCGGGGAGTGGGTTGGCCCTATAGGGTGGCTGAGAGGGGCAGGGGGCTGCTGGGGGGGAGCAGGGTCGGTGCTGGGGAGGGCAGGAATGGGGCCAGGCACCTCTCAGCCTGGCTCCTCCTGTACTGCCTGTCCTTTTGTCCCATGCTGCGGGGAAGGAGAACCAGCTGCTGGTCCTGGTGAGTAGCACCTTGCTGGGCTGTGCGGGGGGTGTCAGCTCTTGGCAGCCTGTGTTTGGTTTGGTTTGGTTTGGTGATGCCGGGGGAGCTCCCCGCTTTCCTGCCTGTCCCTGGGGGCAGGCTGTCCCGCAGCCCCCACCGCCCCCCTGCTCTGCGCAGGAGGACGACGAGGGCTCTCAGTGCTCAGCAGACTTCGACCTCAGCCTCCCGGACAACGGCTTCATGAGCAAAAACGACGTGATCCGCAGCAAGGTGTCGCGCCTGACCGAGCGCCTGCGCAAGCGCTACCCCAGCAATAATTTTGGTGAGGCTGGGGGCGCGCACTGCTGGGGGAGGTGCAGCTCAGGGGGGGCTGTGCTGGCATCTCCAGCAGCCTCCCCCTCACCAGGGGGTGTTCGCACCCGTCCTGGGACGAGCAGGGGTGGCGGGGTCTTTACAGCAGGCGTGGGGGGGCCCAGGGAGCAGAGCCCTGCCTGAGCCTGCCCTGTCTGTTCCAGGGAGCTGCACGGGCTGCGGAGCCACCTTCTCAGTGCTGAAGAAGAGGGTGAGTCTTCGGCTTCTCACTGCCCCAGCGAGCTGCTGACAGCGGGTGGAACAGCTTGCTCTGCCCGGCTGCCCTCGGTCGCGGCGTGGCAGCGGGTGACCTCAGCTAAGTGCTGGGTGTTGTCACATACCGGCTGCTGCCAGGGAGCCTTGGTGCCTTGGGCAGCTGCCCCAGGCTCACCCGCACGTGCTGCTGTGCGAGGCGCCTGCTCCGTGCCCTGGTTTAGCTGCTGCTGTCTCAGCACTTCCCAGCACTCCTCATCCCTGCTCCAGATGGGTACTGATGGCTCTCTTCCTGCTGCCTCCTCACCTCCAGCCTCAGGGCTCCCTCCCCTTTCTCCTGGGTTAGTCTGATGCGTATTTGGCAGTCTCCGGAGCTTGCATCCCTCCAGGATTACAGCATAGGAAACTGCAGTCTGTAAACCTCCCGGAGCCTGTGGCTGCAGTGCTCTCCTGTGGTGTTAGAGCATACTTGCATGCCTGGGCACCTTGTCCTGCTGTTGTTTTCTGGCTGCCTTTCTGTTACCAGGGCTCTCGCCCCCTCTCCCCTCCAGCCAGGGATGCTGCTGGCAGTGCCCTGGCCCTGGAGCTCGCTGGGCAGCCCCCAGTGCTGCTGTTAATGCCCCACCTCTGTCTCTCCCCAGCGGAGCTGCAGTAACTGTGGGAACAGCTTCTGCTCCAGGTGTTGCTCCTTCAAAGTTCCCAAGGCCGTGATGGGAGCCACGGGTGAGTGGGAGGGGGAGGCGGGGGCAGCGTGTGCCCCCTCTGACCCCTGAGGGAGGGGTCTGCAGCAGGTCGTGGCTGTGACCCCAAACCCTCAGCGGGTGCTGTGCTGGAAGGGGGGCGCCTGACACCTGCTTTCTCCTGTTCCCAGCCCCGGAGGCTCAGAGGGAGACGGTGTTCGTGTGCGCGCTGTGCAACCAGGTGCTCACCAAGTGACCGCTCACCAAGCTCCTGGGCCCCTGCCCAGTGATGGAGCAGCCGTCCTCCCTCCTCCTGGCCCTACCTCCACCTCCTGGCAGGGGCAGAGCAGCCTGAGCGCTGTGTGGGGTGGGGTGGGTGTTTTTGGGATCAAGTCGGAGCTCTGCCTGCGTTCCCAGGAGCCGTGACCTCGGTCCTGGCTTGGCTCATCCCTCCCGCGCTCCTTGGCCTCGCTGCCTTCAGGTTTAGCCCCCGTCCCCCTCCCCGTTTGGCTGTAGCCGAGGGTCAGCGAGGGCTGGGCTGCGGCGAGAGCCCTCTGCGTTGGTGCTGCTCTGTGCGTAGTGACTGCTGCTTCTGCTGCAGGTACCGGCTGTGTCCGTAGGGGATGACCAATAAAGCTCTTGCCACCAGCCAGACCTCGCCTTGCCCCTACAAAAACCATCCCAATCCCTCGTGTTTCCACAGCCTTGGCTCCTCTCCTGTGTGTCTCCCATTCCCCAGGGCTGGGCGCTGTGTGGAGCTGCTCCTTGGCTGTGCCAGGGCCTGATCCTGGTGCCGGGGGGCGAGCTCTGTGCCCTGCCCAGGCGGTGGTCCCAGCAGCCGCCCACCCGCACAAGGGTGACCTTTCCCTGTGCCAACAGCACAGCTCGCAGCTATCCCAGGAATGTGACCCTGGCTGCTGTGCAGCTGGGAACGGCCGCGGCCGGGCCCCCCGCCAGCCAGCTGCAGCTCCCCGGGGGGGCCGGGCCCCGGGGCTGGCAGTGCCCCCACCCCCGGGCTGACACCCACCGGCGGGGGGATGCTCTGGGGGCACGGGTCTCGGGGTACCCCGTGGTGCGGGGCAGCTCTGCTCCTGAAAAACCTCTTTCAAGCCCTGCCTTTGGGAAATTTTGGGAGAAGCTGAACTCTGCGTGCCCAAAATGCGCTGGGGGGGTGTTGGGGGGATGCTGGGGCTGAGCTCGGCCAGTTTGGGGCAGGGCACAGGGAGAAGTTACTCATCTTCCTGCAGCCAGCCCTTGGCAGGACGCGGGCCGTGTCCATGTGTGCCCAAAGGCCCCGCAGGAGGAGCTCGGTGACGCAAAGCACAGAGGGCTACAGATAACCGCGGGCTGCGGGAGGGGGGATTTATTTGCGCCCTCCCCGTTCTGCTCTCACATAGCTGCTGCTGTTCATTCCTACGGCAGCGCGCTCGGCAGCCTCGGGCGGAAAATACCTCCCAGCAATAGTGGAGTTTTTCTCCCCTGTTTTTTTCCACCTTGGCCGGAGCAGAACCCACCTGCCCTTGCGCCCTGCGCCTTGCTGGCTGCGGGGCTGGAGCACACCCCGGGTTCGGTGCCCCAGCGTGGGGCAGGTGGGTAAACAGGGCTGGGGCAGGACGGGGGCACCCTGCTGCCCCCCGAGCAGCCAGCCTGGGGTTCTGCTGGCACCCACGCCCTGGGGGTGCCCGGGGATGGGGGTGCCCCATCCAGCATCTGCAACCTCCCTGTGCGCACCCCAAAGCTCCCAGCCCTCTGCAGCTCCTGGAGCTGTGGATTGAGCCAGGACCCTTGGCTGCCCCGTCCCCTGCTTCCCAGGGTCCTGAGAACCACAGGGAGCAGGACCCAGGCTTCTCCGAGGCAGAATAATTTACTGGGGGGGGTCAGGCTGGGATGGGGGGATGTGGGGTGCAGTGGGGCTGGGTTGGAGGTGGGCTCCCCCCTGTTGAGCCATGTGGAAGGGAGGGCTGGGGAAGCCCAGGCAGTGGCCGTGCACCTCCAGACACTTGGCTGTGGGAGCTGGGGGCAGTCTGCGGGCACAGAGGGCAGCAAGGAGCTGCCTTGGCATGGGGGGGTCCATGGAAAAAGGAGGGGGGGTGATCCAGGGCTGGGGCACGAGCTCTGCAGGAGGGGACACAGGATGGGGATGCTCTGGGGGGCTGGAGGAGGGATTGGGGGAGGCTGAGGGTCAGAGTCACGTCATCAGGAGCTGGGCAGGGGGTTGGGGTCTCGGGGCAGCCAAGGAACAAGCAGGGAGGCAGGGCAGGGGTCCTGGGGTGCAGAGGTGGGCGTTCAGGAGGGGCACGGGGGTCCTGGGTGCAGGTCGAGGCTCCCTTGAATGCAGCTGGGGATCTCTGGGGTCCTGGGGTGCCACCAGGGGTGCGGAGCAGGGCGAGTGCAGGAGTCCCGGGGCAGAGCCCTAGTGCTGCCCGGCCCCGTAGAGCAGGGGGTGGTAGAGGGGGCAGGGGTAGGAGAACATGAACTTGACGGCGAACTTCATCTCCTTGTTGTGCTTCTGCCAGGGGTAGATGGCGAGGAGCAGCAGGCGGCCGCCCACCTTGCGGCCCATCACCAGGAAGCTGCCGCCGAGGCTGTCGAGCTGGGGGCAGGGGCAGGAGCCCGCGTTCCTCATGTGCAGCACCAGCTTCTTGGTGTCCTTGCGCTTGAGGGGGCCCAGCTTCAGCACCTTTTTCTTCTGGGCGGCCACCAGGCGCCGCTCCCCGTTCTCCTCCGTCACCTCCTTGATGCGCATCTTCACCACTGCGTGGGGACAGCCGGGGGGCACTGCTGGGGGCTCTGCGGGGGGTGCTGGGGGCACTGCTGGGGTTGGGGGCAGGTGTCTGTGCGGGATGGGGTGTGACAAGTCCCTGGGGCTGGGTCCTGATGAAGGGTCTTGGGGGAAATCACTGCCTGGTGCCCCGTTCTGCCTGTCCCCCACACTTGCCCTATCTCTGAGGCACCCCAAATCACACACGGGGTCCAAGGGAAGGGTCCCCATGGGGCTGTCCCAGGACAGCGGTGCCTTTTGGCCAAACCCCTACCTGGGCTGCTCTGGGGGTGGCTGGGGTTGTCGGGGTAAGGGGTGTCGGGGCAGGGGACCCCAGCACTCACCGAAGTCGCTGGAGCACATCTGCTGCATCATGCCGTCCGCCTTGTGCTCCATCTCGCACTGCGTGCAGATCCTGGACACTGCGGGGTGACACCAGCTGCGGTCACCGGGGGCAGCTCAGTGGGGACACGCTGGGGGAGCCCCGGGAGCTGTGCCAAGGTGATTGGGGGCACCCAGTCCCAGCACCCGCTTCCCACGAGGGACAGGGAGCGGGGTGACCCTGCCGATGCTCTGGGGCGCAGCAGCGAGGGTGGCAGCGGGGCGGAGGGTGCCACAACCCTCGGTGCCTGCTCCCAACCCTGTCTGCCTTTGGGTGACGTCCCTTCCCTGCCCGAGGGGACAGCCACCAGCATCCTGTGTGTGCGAGGGGGCAGCACAGGTGCAGCGCTCGGGGCTGGGCGCTTTGTGCTGCTGCCATGGGACGTGGTGAGGGGACACAGCTCCCGTGGTCACCCCCAGCACCGCTCCCTGCTGCCCTGGGGCAGCTCTGTGCAGGCAGCGAGGGGTGCTGAGCCCGGGCTGCTGCCCCCCTGGGGGCTGTGCTCCTAGAGGAGGAGCAGGGATGGGGGCTCCGCGGTGGCACCCCACGTGGTGTCCCCATCCCCTGTCGCCGTGCCCTGCCCCCTTACCTGGCGGCGGGGTGGCCTGGCTGTTCCCGAACTGGACGGCGATGCAGAGGTCGTGGTCAGAGGGGAACTTGGCGCAGTGCAGCATCTCGGGCCAGGGGAAGCCGTAGGACTCCATGACGGGGGCGCAGGAGTCGCGCACCACCTCGCAGAGCGAGCGGCAGGGGTAGACGGGCCGGTCGAGGCAGACGGGGGCGAAGAGGGAGCAGAGGAAGAGCTGGGTGTCGGTGTGGCACTGCTTGGCGAGCAGGGGCACCCAGCTGCTGGCCTGCTGCTTGGCCTCGGCCATGGACTCGTGCTCCAGCAGGTTGGGCAGCCGCATGCGCTTGTAGCCCACGTCGTAGCAGAGCTGCATGTCGGCCGGGATGTCCACGCACTGCGGCTCCCGGCCGTAGAAGCGCCCTCGGGGCACGCTCTCGGGCTGCCAGCCGTAGTAGTCGTAGTGCTGCCCGCTGCCTGGTGCCAGCAGCGCCAGCAGCGCCAGCAGTGCCCGCAGCGCCGTGCCCGTGATCCTCGTGGGGACGCTCGCCCGTGGCATCGCCGCAGCCGTGCCGTGCTGAGCGGGACCGAGCCGGCTGCCTGCTGCCTGCTCCCCAGGCGCCTCCCACGCCGCCCTTTCAAAGGAGCCCGCAGGCCTCGCCGGCAGCCAATCTGCTCCTGCTGCTGGCCCCCCCCGGGCATGGCCCCCCGGCCCCACGCCAGGCCGCTCTCCCTCCCTCCCCGCCGCCAGCCCTGCCTCGCACCGCGGGGTGGGCGCACGGCGCTGCTCGGGGTGCCCCCGCAGGGTGGCTCAGCACCAGGGTGCTTCGTGCCTCCCTGTCCAGCACGTCCCCAGCCTGTCTGCTCCTGGCACGGGGTGGGGGATCCTGGTTCCTGCCCTGTCCCCCTCCCCTGGGGAGACCCCCTGGAGTAGGGGTGCGGGGTGCAGGGGCTGGGGGTGCAGGACAGCCCGGGGACCCCATGGTGCTGGAGCACCCACATGCAGGGTGCCACCTGCAGCCTCTGCTCCTGCTCCGTCCCCTTCCTCAGGTCTAGGCTCTGTCACCCCAACCCATTGCTCCCCATTGAGACAGGACGGGGGAGTTGGGGGGGGACATTCCCGGTGCCTGGGGCATAGGAAGAGCCGGAGCCCAGCGGGACGGGATGGGGCCACATTCCCCCATCCCCTTGGAGATGGGCTGAGCAGGGGGAGCCGGGCTGAGGACCCCATTACAAACCCATTTTTCTGCAGGGGTTATCTGGGGTGCCCCTTCCCCTTCCCACGATCGATGCCCCAGCCTGGCCAGCGCCCCTGTGCCGCCCCCAGCCCCTGCCCACCGGATAAGGCGCTCTGCTAATGGGCGGCAGAGCAAACAGCCCGCTGCAGGCAGGAGATAGCAGCTGCCCTTTGCCCCGGGCAGGGGGCAGGGACGGTCCCCAAACCCCTCCAGGAGCCATCCGCTATGGGGCCGTGCTGGCAGCCTCACCACACGCCGTGCCTGTGCCCGCAGCCCTCTCTCCCTGCCTGTTTTCACTGTGCTGGGCTCAGTGCCTTGGTCCACAGCCCCCAGGGATGCTCGCTGCCTGCTTTGGGGCTGAGTTTGGCTCTCCTGGGCCAAGCCCTGGGGATGGCACCGTTAATGTGTAACCGCCGGGAGCACGATAAGATAGAGCGGCCCCGTTATCAGGGCTGCCCGGTAGCAGGAGGGGAGGGTGCTGGAAGCCTCGGGTCGTCCCAGGAGGAGTGAGATTGTCTGGGGATAAACGGTGATGGGAAATAGCTAACCGGTGATGGATGGCCCGGGGCAGGGCAGCGGGGAGCTGATTGCTGCGGGCGCTCCGCTGGGAAGGGGCCAGGGAGCAGGAGCTCCAGGGGCAGGGCTGGGAGCCTGCGGGATGGAGCTGTGGGGGCAGTGCGGTGCCCGTGCAGTGGTGCTGAGCCTTGCCTAGAGCCCTACCCGAGGAGCAGCCTTGGCTGGTGGGGCTGGGGGTGGCGGGGGGGGGATGACAAGGGGCTCCCTGCCAGCCCCTGGGCCCCCCGTCTGTCATGATGCCTTTATTAGAGCCACTGAGTCACCTCCTGGCAGCGAGGCTTGGGCTTCAAAGGGTCTTCATAGGGACCTGAAAGTAAAAAAAAAAAAAGAAAACATGCTTAAAGGACAGTGACTGGGGTGGGAAGAGGGACCTCTGCTCCTGGGGAGGGGTCCCAGCTCTGGGGGGCCGTGCCAGGGGGATGGGATGGGATGGGATGGGATGGGATGGGATGATGGATGGGATGGGATGGGATGGATGGGATGGGATGGGATGGGATGGGATGGGATGGGATGGGATGGGATGGGATGGGATGGGATAGGACGGGATTGATGATGGATGGGATGGGATGGGATTGATGGGATGGGATGGGAGATGGGATGGGATGGGATGGGATGGGATAGGACGGGATTGATAGGATGGGATGGGGATAGGATGGGATGGGATGGGATGGGATGGGATTGATGGGATGGGATGGGATGGGATGGGATGGGATGGGATGGGATGGGATGGGATTGATGGGATGGGATGGGAATGGGATGGGATGGGATGGGATGGGATGGGATGGGATGGATGGGATGGGATGGGATGGGACGGGATGGGATTGATGGGATGGGATGGGATGGGATGGATGGGATGGGATGGGATGGGATGGGATGGGATGGGATTGATGGGATGGGATGGGATAGGTTGGGATGGGATCGTTGCCCTCCCGCTGTGGCAGCTCCCAGGGGTGGGGATGGATGGCGCTGCCCTTCCCCACGCCCTGTCTGCGCAGGCTGTGCCCGTGCCCACGTCCCCAGGCCCCGCAGAGGGCTGGAGGTCTGACACTTGCTCCTGTCACTCGGCGCAGCCAGGCCACCAGCCCCGCCACCGCCTGGGTCACCCTGCCCGGCACTGCCACCAGGACGGGGGCTATGGGGGCTGCCCCCTCTGCGGTGGGGACCCCAGGGACGGCCGGCCACGGGGACACGGTAAGGGGACGTGCCCTGCAGGGGGGCTGCCCCCAGCCCTGCCCTGCTCCCCCATAAAGGCAGCGGTGCCGGGTTGCACCCAGCACGGAGCCCTGCTCAGCTTGCCCCGCAGTGGGGTGCCAGAGGGAGGTGAGGGCAGGGGGGGCACGGTGGGACCAAGCCGTTGGGGGGGCTGCAGGGACCCCCAGGGCGGCCAGGATCGGCGGTGGCCACGCACTTGCCCTGCGCCCACACACACTGGCGCTTGTCTCGCGGCCCCAGGAATGCGGCTGGCAGCGCTCCGGGCACAGCTGCGGGGCCGCGGCCGCCCTGGCGCCCTCCCAACCCCTCGGCGGCTCCTGCCCCGGCTCGTAAATCCTGCGAGCACACAGAGCCGTGTGTGTGCCGCTCTGCACCGCCCGCCCGACCCCCGGCCCCGTGCGGGGCAGGGATGGGGCAGGGACCGCGTGGGGACCCCTGGGCACGAGGCCGGGGGGCGAGCCCCTTCCCTCGCCTTGTTTCTGGGGACCTCCAGGCAGCGCTGCTCCCCCCACCCTGTTGTGCAGAGGGCAGGGGAGGTGTGGGAGCCAGCCCTTGCCTGGCCTGGCTTCCCAGCAGGAAGCTTTGCAGAAGCTGGGCCGTGATTTTGGGCACCTCCTGCCCAAACCGCATCCCTCCCTGCCCGCTTGCTTGCAGAGCCAGCAGTGCGTGGGACCTGGTGCTGCGCTCCCCTGGCCACACACCCAGCCCTGGGGACAGCGGTGTCCCCTCCCTCGGGGTGCTCAGACTGCGGGCAGTTTGGGGCAGCGTCCCTCTGGAGCAGCACCTCCTGCACCGAGGGCCACGCTGGGGTGCCTGGAGCTGTTTGCTGGCGGCTCGGGGTGTGGGGGACGTCCCCCCCCGTGCTGACACACACCCACACACCTGGTGCCTCCGGGAAAGGTTATCAGCTAGCCTCCTCGCCTCCCAAATGTCACCGTTGTCCTCGGCGGGGCGGTGAGCTCACAGCCCCCCCTTGCTGTTCATCCAAGCCCCCCCAGCGCCGTGCGAAGCAGCTGCCAGGGCTGGCACTGCCCCGGATCCCTTTGAAGTGGAGCCAGGGAGCTGCAGACAGCCCCGCTGGGTGGCTGCGGGCTGAGGAGGGGGCTCTGCACCCCCAGATGGGCAGGGGCTCGGTGCAGGATGGGGCTGCGGGGGGGTCCCCTCTGAAGGTCCACATCCACCGTGCCAGGAGTGACGGGAAGGTCGGGGTTGTGGCCGGGGGGCAGCTCCGTGCACCAGGGAACGTAGTGGTGGCACCCCCTGCTCCTGCACCCCTGTCCTGTGGGGCGGAGGGCTCTGGAGCAGGGAATATCAGGAATAAAGGCAGCTCCTGCAGCAGCCGTGCCCGCCTCTGCTGCCAGGCAGCCTAAAAATAGCCCCCTGGCAAGTGTGGGGGGAGAAGGGCCGTCTGCTTACAGCTGCACAGCCCACGGTGGGGCATCAGGCGGGGGGGTCTGGCAGGCCTGGGGGGCTCTAGGGGGCTGCGTGGGGCTGGGCAGTGCCATGGGGCAGGTCCCTGATGCTGGGCAAGGCTCGGTGCTGGGTGGTGAGGCCGCACGGCAGCTCCCTTGGGACGGCAGCACCGCGGGGTGCATCAGGTGGGCAGAGCCCGGGGGATGCATCCGGGGGCGGCAGGGACAGCTGGGCCCCCCCCGGCTGCTGTCGGCCCCTCGCCACCGCGTGGGAGAGCGAACCTCATCTCCTGGCAGGGGAGACATTGCCATGGAAACTGGCACGGCCGCTGCCAGGCAGTGACGTGGTGTGGCACGGGAAGGGGCTGGCGAGCGGGGCCTGGCTCTGGGGGCATCCAGGGACACCCTGGGGTGTGCCAGCCTGGGCCCGTGGGTGCACGGGTGGGTGCATGCATGAGGGTGGGTGCACGCCTGTGCCTGTGCGCATCCCCAGCTGTGTCCATGAGCGTCCCCAGCTGTGTCCATGTGCGTCCCCAGCTGTGTGCGCATCCCAGCTGTGTCTGTGCACTTTTCTATTTATGTGCCAACCCCAGCTGTGTGCCCGTCCCCAGCTGTGTGCACATTGCCAGGGCTGTGTCACCCTGCACCCTGCCCGATGTCCCCAGGCGCTGTGGGACACCCTGGCCGCCCTTCTGCCCCACACAGGCCCTTAAGCCCCTGGCCACCAGCCCTCACCCCCTTCCCTGCTGCGCCACCCCCTCCTCCTCCTCCTCTGGGGACAGCGCCTGTTTTCTGCCCGTTTGCCTTCCCCTGGCTCTAATTGAGCTGTCACCGTGGCAGAGATAACAGGGAATTCGTTAGCGCTCCCCTTTGATGTCTGCCTGTGCCGTGACCGCAGCTCTCTCTGCAGCCGCAAATTCTGCCCTGAGCAGCACCCAGCAACGCTGCCCCGGTGGGGCGGGCTGCCAGCCCCACTGCCGGCCCCCCCAGCACCCTCCCCACAGCAGCCAGCCCCATAAGCACCCCCAGCACTCTCCCCAGGGCACCCACCCCCCAAACGCCCCCCGCACCCTCCCCAAGGCAGCCACCCAAGTGCCCCGTGCGCCCTCCCCAGGGCGGCCACCCCCAAGCACCCCCGGCGGCACCCCCCCGGCAGCCGTTTCCCCGTCCCCCTGCGCCCCCCCCCGGGGCGGTGCGGCTCCTCCGGGGGTTCCCCGCTAAAGGCTGCGGGCGCCCATCCCCACGGCCTCGGGGCCGGCCCGGGCGGCTGCGCACACGGGGCCGTGCCGGGCCCGCCTCCGCCTCCGCCGCTCGGCTCGGCAGCACCGCGGACAGCGCCGGTGCCGCCCGCCCGGCTCGGCTCGGCTCGGCTCGGCTCGGCCCGGCCCCGCGGACAGCTCCGCTTCTCCATCTCCCGGCCCGGTGCGGCGCGGCACGGCTCGGCACGGCCCGGGGCGCACGGCGCGCCATGGCCACGGAGGTGGGTGCGGGAACCGCCCGGTGCGGGGCTGCGGCGGGGACCGGCCCCGGGGAGGGGACAGAACCGAACCCCGCTCTGCCCCGGGCTGGGGTCGCCGGGGTGCGGGGGGTGACAGGATGGGACCCGCCTGGGGCTGGGAGCTGGGGTCTGCGCGCACGGCTGGGTGCGGGGCTGGGGTCGGCGCGGGGTGCCCTTGCCAGAGGGGTCTGTGCGGGGCTGGGGTGTGGTGTGGGGCAGGTGGCAGGAGGCGATGGCACGCTGCACGGGGGGCACGACATGCCCTTGGCACCGCCGTCCTCCTCTCCATCCCCGCTGCGACCCACGGCTAGGGGGGCTGCTGTGGGTTCTCATCCCGCGTGGGGTGCCAGGGCTGGCCGGGCTCTGCTGATCCCTTTTGTGCCACCGTTCCCCCGCTGCACGGCCACTGCAGACCTGCTTTTGCGCCCCCCTGCTCAGCTCGTTGCCCTCCTCCTGCTGGGAAGCTGCTGGGGACCGAGGGCTGTCCCCACGCCGCCTGTGACACCCCAGGGGACACACACCATGCACGCAGCAGCCGGTGCACACGGGGACAAGCGCATGGCCCACACCAGGGGCTCCCTGGGGATATGGCACTGCTGCCTGGGGACCCTCTCCCCAGCTGCAGCCCCCCCCTGGCTTCACCCCCTGCCCCTCCCCAAGGTGCACAGCCTGCAGGAGCTGCGGCGCAGCGCGTCCCTGGCCACCAAGGTCTTTGTGCAGCGGGACTACAGCGACGGGACCACGTGCCAGTTCCAGACAAAGTTCCCCCCCGAGCTGGAGAGCCGGGTAGGGAACCCAGCGGCGTGTGTGTGTGTGTGGGGGGGGGGAGGGTGCCCTATTTTCGGTGTCCTGTGGGGCTTGGGGGGTGGGAGAGGGGTCTGAAGGCATGGGGTGCTGCAAGGCCCTGAGCCAGCCTGATGCAGCTGGATTGCTGGGCAGTGCCTGGGGCAGGGTGTGAGCTGTCACTGCCCCCCTGCCTGGGGTTTGCAGGCACCAGGAGGCTCTGGTGGAGGCTCAGCAGGTCTTGGCATGCAGGGGCCAGGGAGCTGAGACAGCAGCTGAGCAGGGAGGAGAGGTTTAAGTGGTCCCCGAGGCACCCCAGGGAGCGGGAGGGACAGCGCAGGGGGCAGCTGCTGGCCAGGTTTGTCTTCACCGCAGCTTCTGCCCTAGATCGAGCGCCAGCTCTTCGAGGAGACCGTGAAAACTCTTAACAGCTTCTACGCTGAAGCGGAGAAGATCGGGGGCAGCTCGTACCTGGAGGGGTGCCTGGCCTGCGCCACCTGCCTATTTCATCTTCCTCTGCATGGAGACGCACTACGAGAAGGTGCCAATGCCCAGGGGAGGGCGCAGGGAGCTGGAGGGGGGGGCTGGAGGACAAGTGTGGGCACCCAGGGGCTGCCGGGGTGGGGTGTCCGTGTCCTTGCTGGCAGCCCTGAGCATGCCCCTGTGCACCAGCAGGTCCTGAAGAAGATCTCCAAGTACATCCAGGAGCAGAACGAGAAGATCTACGCAGCCGCGGGGGCTGCTGCTCACCGACCCGCTGGAGCGTGGCATGAGGGTCGTATCCTCTGCGGCAGGGCAGGTGGGGTGGGGAGGGCATCGCTGGGGGGGCACGAGGGTGAGGGAGGGGGGCACAGTGGGCAGTCGGGCGGTGGGTCTGTGGCTGCCGTGTCCCCGGCTGGTCCTTAGCGGTGCCCAGATCGAGATCTCCATCTACGAGGACCGGTGCAGCAGCGGCAGCTCCAGCAGCGGCAGCTCCAGCAGCAGCAGTGGCGGCGGGGGGGGCGGCGCGGGGGGCCGGTGACTGGCAGAGAGTCCCTGCAGGGACTCGTACTGCCGGGACAGCGGCCTCTCCGAAATCCGCAGGCTGCACTACCAGAGCACCCGCTTCTGAGCCCAGAGCGGGGTGGGTGGGTGGGCGGGCGGGGGGGGCCCGGGGGCTGCCCACTCCCCCCCTCTGCGACATGCCCCCCACAGCGGCTCTGCCCCTGCTCAGACCCGCTGCGGGCAGGGGCTGCTGCTGGGGTGTCCCAGGTGCTTCCCACTGAGCCAAACCAGTGCCAAAGGGCTCCCGCAGCCCCCACCCCGGGGTGCTCTGCGCCGCTGCCCCCGCCCCGAGCAGCCCCAGCGGGCAGCGCCCCAGTGCCTGCAGTGCCCCGGATGGGGGGCTTCGCCCCGTGCCCCCGGGGTGCCCTGCTCTTGGTGCCACGGGCCCGTCGCCCCAGTGCCACTTCGTCTGCGTGTCGGTGCTGTGCGCACCCCACACGCTGCCCATTGCTGCTCCGGCAGCACCCCGCTGCCTGCCCGACCCCGTGCCGTCCCCAGCGAGCTCCCTGCTCCTGCTGCTGAGCCCTCCTCTGCCCCCACACGTCCTGCATGCGCCCCTCACCCCCCTGCATCGGGGGTGCCCTGCTCCCTGCACCTTGCAGAGCCTCCCCCTGCCCCCCAATTCTCAGCCTGTGGGGACCCCCAGCTGCAAGGAAGGGCCAGGTGGGGATTTTTGGGAATGGGACAAGCCCCTGCGTGGGTGCAGGGTGGAAGTAAGCCTGCATGGCTCTCCCAGGGCCGCAGGGGAAGGGCTCTGCCCCCCAGGACCCCCCCTCAGCTCGGTCATTGTGCGCGTGGGGCCCCCAGCCCCGCTGTTCCCGCTGGGGCACCCTGCATGGAGCCCTTCAATAAACCTCACGCTTCATCCCCACCACCTGCCCTGCCTCCTCCTGTGCCGGAGCGATGCCGGGGGCTGTGCTGGGGCTGGGCACCCCCTGGCACAACGGGGAGCACCGAGCAGGCTGTGGGGGCGGCCCCAGAAGGAGGGTGAGCAAGGGGGAAAAGGAAAGGGAGCGATGGAGCAGCACAGCCCCAGCAGGACACATCCCCACAGGAAAGGGGTTGCTCGGGTGGCAGCAGGCACAGCCTGCACAGGACCATGCCCAGGGAGGCTGGGGGGGCAGAAGCAGGTTAGGGGGGGCTGGCAGCATCCACCCACAGCCCGGGAGAAGCCACAGCAGCAGCAGCAGCATGCAGGGGCCCTGGGGGTGGTGGTGCAGAGCTGGCTGCAGTCCTGCAAGCCTGGGGAGCAGCACCCATGGGCAAGGTGGGGGAGAAGCAAGGGGAAGCAGCACAGCCCCGAGGAGCAGGGACCCTCCAGGGGGACCCTCCAGGCATCTCCTGCCAGCCTCCCCCCAAGGCCAGGGGGTGCTCCCAGAGCCCAGTTAATAGACAGGGTACAGTTTATTGGGGGGGATTCTCTGGGACTGGGGCTGGAAGACTGAGCAGGGTCCGACTCCAAACAGTGGGGTCAATACGTTAAAAAACAAACCGGGGGGGTCCCTCCCCTGCCGGGCTGGGGGAACCCTCCTCTGGCGGTGCCGGGGAGGGGGATCCCCCCGCTGCAGCGGGGACAGGAGAAGCAAACACGTCGCAGGCCAAACCAGCAGGCACATGGTACGGTATCAAGTCGACGGAGCAAGCGAGCGCCGGGGAGGCGGCGGCGAGGCGAGGGGAGCGCTGGGGCTGCTTTCCCTGGCTGCTGTCCCGGGGAAGGTGCCGCCTTCCCCTGCCCTTCCCGAGGCGGCCGCCCCGGCACGGCGCAGCCGGCGCTTGCAGGGTGGTTTCGACATGGAGAGAGAGAAAGAGAGAGAGGAAGAGACAGGCAGAGGGCGGCCGGTCCTTCCGCCAAGGCTGCTCTGGCGAGTTACGGGCAGGGGCTAAAGTGCATAGAGGCAAAGGCAGAGTCCGAAGCCTAGAGGGAGGAGGGCGCCTTGGGGGGGCCAGGGCCAGCTCCCGGCAGAGGGGTATCCCCCAAAAAAGGCCACTTGAGCTGTACAGAGAATGAAAGAAGGAGCAAGAGAGAAAGAGAGAGAGAAGGGGAGTCAGTGGTGGCTGGGGGGGAGGCGTGGGACCAGCGGGCATGGAGGCGAGCAGCTACGGAGCTGGGGTGTGGGTGATGGGGCAGGTGCCCAGCGGGGTGCAGGAGGTGGCCAGGCCCTGGGGTGCAGCACCGTCTGGGGGCACCGCTGCAGGGCTGGGGGAGGCTGGTGCCCACCGTCACTCACCCACACAAGCCGTGCCGTCCTCGTTGGGCTCGAAGCCCCGGCTGCAGCGCTTGTTGCTGCGGCAGCGGTACCCGCCGTAGGTGTTGACGCACACGGGCTTGTCCCGGGGGCACACGAAGGGGAACTCCGTGCACTCGTTGGTGTCTGCAGACAGGATGTGGACTGAGAGCTGCTGCTGGTAGCCCCCTGGCTCCTCCTGTGCCTGGCTGGAGCCACGCACAAGCCCTGTGGCTCCCTGACCCCCGCTGCTGCTCCATCCTTTGTGCCACTTGCCCACGTCCCCAGCAGCCACTCACCTACACAGCGTCCGTTCTCGTGCTGGGAGAATCCCTGCCCACACTGCGTTTGGGGGAGAAGCAGACACGGCCGGGATGGGGCAGGAACCGGGAGAGCCCAGCCCCTCATTCCTGCCCCTCAAAACCCCCCCTGCGCCCCACAGCCAGCCCTCACCTCCAGCGGGGTGGGCACCAGCGGCTCCTCTGTGTCCGGGGGGTAGGGGACCTCCAGCACGGAGTTGGTCTCACTGCTGGCCACGGCTCGCACCAGGACACGGCCATCGGGCCAGGTCACCTCCAGGCTGCTGGCCTCGTCGCGCCCTGCAGGCGGGCAGCCTGTTAGCGGGGCGCCTCCGGGATGGGGATGGAGAGGAAAATCCTCCCCTCGCTCCCACAGCTGGTCCCTGGGTGCTGGGGCCGCAGAGCTGGCCGCTGCCTGGGGGTGCTGGCGGGGTTTTGTCCCCCTCACACCTCTCCAGCTCACCCAGCCCGAAGTGTGCCACGGGCTCCATCTCGCACAGGTACCCCGAGCCGCCATCGATGATGCGCAGGTGGGCGCCGCTGCGCCGCGTGAACAGCACCACCTTGGCCCCCCGCGCGAAGGCCCCGAAGCGGGTGCGGGGGATGACACGCAGCCAGTTGTTGGCAGTGCCCTGCGAGGGTTGGATGGGCAGGGGGTGAGCGTGGGAGAGGGGGCAGGGAAGGGGGACGGTGCGAGGAGCCCCTGCTCGACTCACCTGGGTGCCCTTGAAGATGGAGATGGGCTGCGCCATGGACTCGCCGTGGGACAGGATCAGGTCCAGCATCCCATCGCCGTCAAAATCTGTCACTGCACCCCCTGTGAGGACAGGATCAGGATGTGCTGTGTTATGAGGGCACGTTATGGCAGGCACACCCCAGCACGAGCCACCCCTGAGCTGGGGACCCACCCGTGCCCCGTCCCTCGGGCTCCAGCGCATCCCCTGGGTTCAGCTCCTCCACGATGGGGTCTGAGTGCTCTCTGCGGGTGAGCCTGCCGGGCACAGAGGGGGAGTTAGTGCCAGCCCCCCATGTCCCCATGCCTGGAAGCTGCTGGGGGACAAGTGCCTGCTCCCCCTGGAGCAGCTCGGTAGAGAGGTGACAGCCCCGGTGGCACCTGGAGGGCATGGGGATGGCAGGGGCGCTGCTGGTGGCTGTGCAGGGTGGTTGAGGGACTGGCCACGCACCTCACATCCCCCACCACTGCCACAACCCTTGGGAACTGGAGAACCCCTCCAGGGGCTTCCAGCTCCCCACAACCCCCCCCCCCCCCACCCAGAGTGGGCGGGCAGACAGTGGTGAGGCGAGGGGGAGCCGCCAGGCAGCGGCGAGGAATCGATCCCCACAATTAGTGGGAGCCACGAGCAAGCTTCCAGGCGGCTGCTGATCAGCGGCACGGGGACCCCAGGGGCTGCTGCAGGCACGGCCGCCGCAGCTGGTAATGACACAGGGAAGGGCTCAGGCATGGCTCCTTCCACGAGCACAGCCTGAGCGGGGGTCCCCTGTGTGCCAGCGGCGGGGAGCGGCAAGGCGCGGGCTGCTCGTTCCCCCGGCCCTACCGGAAGAGGCGGTTGGCAGAGGAGCCACGGTAGGCGATGTTGTTGAAGAAAACCTCCAGCTCCTGGTCGTTGTCGAAGTCGGCGGCGATGACGGTGCGCACGGGGGACGGCATGGAGAACTTGGGGGTGGCGATGTCCTGCGCAAGGGATGGGCAGGGGCTGCCAATGCGCACGGCGAGCAGGAGGCCGCTGGCAAGCGGGGCTCGGAGCCACAGCGCGGTGAAGCTGGGGTGTCCCCAGCAGCGAGGGCTCGGCAGCCCCAGCCCTCACCCGAAATCGGACGCGGCCGGGGGCCCCCGCCTGCAGGTAGAGGCGGTGCGGCCCGTTCCAGTTGCCGTAGACGATGTCCACGCGGCCGTCGCGGTTGAAGTCGGCCAGCGCCACGCCGCGTCCGTGCTGGTAGGGGTCATCCAGCCCTGCGAGCAGCAAGGGGACGGGGAGACGGGACCCTCCCTGCTGCTGTCTCCCCGGGACACCCCTGGGGACGTGGCCCTGTGGTCCCCAATCTCAGCCATCAGCCATCCCCTGCAGTCAGCGGGGCTGTCGGTCCCCGTGTCCCCTCCACCCGGGGTTGTCCCTGCTGTCCCCCTACTCACCCACGGCAGCTGCCACGTCCCGGTACGTCCCGTCCCCCCGGTTGTGGAAGAGGAAATTGGGGCTGTTCTCGTTACCGCAGAATATGTCGGAGGCACTGTCGCTCAGGATGGGGCCCACGGCCACCCCACGGCCCCCTGGGGACAGCAGCCAGGGGTGAGGGGGCCGCCCTGCCCCAGGGGGGTGCGTGCCCCTGTACCAGTCCCGGTGCTCCTGGGACCCCCTGCACCCCCTCCTTGCCCGTCTCCCTCCTTCAGTCCCTCTCATCAGGAGCTAATTGGGGCTGGCAGCCATTTGTGTCACTTCCAACCTAATCACTGCCATCGCCATGGTGACAACACTCCTAATTAGTGACAATTTACCGCCACAGAGACGGGGCACGGCGGCGGTCCCAGTGGTGGCACGGGGCGCAGGCTGGCACACACCTCTGCCAGCATCCCCAAGCCCTGCGGATGCCACGGGGGGGGTCAGCAGGGTGACAGCAGGCACGGGAGGGTCCCACGGGTCCTTCCCATGGGCTGTGGGGCTGCCGATAGACGGGGCAGGCAGGCAGATGCGTGGCACAGGTCATGGCACGGGGCCGTGCCCCGTCCCCTCCGTACCTGTGTACCTGCTGACGCCCGCCTGGGCGGCCACATCCACGAGCACCACGACGCCACGGGCAGGGTCGCTGGCGGCCACGTCCATCTCGATGAGGGCGTGGGGGCCCACGTTGCCGCTGGCGTAGTTGGCGATGTAGATGGAGTACCTGCCCGAGCCCTGCGGCCGGCGGCACCGCCTCAGCGCCCGCCCGTGCCCTGCGCCTTCGCCCTGCTCCTCCCGGCCAAAACCTGGGCCCACGGGGATGGGGTCGGGCTTAATCCTCCCTGCTGTGGGGCTGGGAGCTCTCAGAGGTCCTGGGTGCAGTGGCATACGGGCAGCAGTGCCTGGTGAGGGCTGGGCGAGACCGTGGCTAAAAGCACATGGGACTGGGGACGGCCACCTTGTCACTCTCCAGTTTAGGGCACCCTGTCCCACCAGCTCCCCAGTGGTGCGGGTGCCCCCTCCCTCCCGTCCCCACCGCCCTCCTTGTCCCGTGCAGCAGCAGCTGGGCCCTGATTTAGCGATAATCGTTTGGAAACAAACTGCTGGGGGAGGAGGAAGAAGAAAGAGCAGGTGACAGGAACATAAATCACCTCGACAGGCGCGTTTATCAGC